ATCGCATCATTTCTCTTTCCGTACGCTGAACTTTATTGGTTTCCATTCTTTCAGCATGAAGATTGTGGATTGGCTGTTTCTTCATAAAGTAATTTTTTTGCCAATTCTGTACTGTTTACATGAAAGTTTTTTTCCCCTGTCTCATCTGGCTGGGCAAAAAAATGTAAGTTTAAACAATAGAAAATGGAAAACATTTTCACTGGATATAGTTGGGAGCGGGAATTTCAGTGTAACCCTTTGCTTCTCTCTGAATAATAAAAAAACCCAGTTTATCTTCTTAAAAGTTGCATCAAAATGCATTATTTTATTGTTTTAAATCAGCTGTTGTCTACTTTTGTCCTCTGGCGATGTACCATTTTGCTGTTTATTGATTGATGTTTTTCTTGCTTAACACTGTTACAGGAATTTTTTGATCCCTTCAAACTCCTTCAAAGCTAATACTTGCACTGGGCTTTTGTCTTTATTTTACCATTAACCGTGATCATCTTTAGTCAAAAGAACTGACTGTGTCAGAAATTCATGACAACTACCTTGCAAAGGGTTTTTATAACCAGACTCAACACTAGTATGGGCTCCAAAAGAGGCGAGCATGGTTGCTTAACTGCTTGGTTTTGGTTTTAATGCTATTTTTCCTTGCTGAGTTGAAGTTAATCTTACACATATTACTGACATACATATCTTTTTGTATTTTTTTTTCAATTCTGTAGAATTCTTTGGAATAGGGACAATCTTAGGCGGTGTAATTTAAAGACATTAATAATTTCCTTATCCTGTTTCCTGAATTTAGACTTTGTTTATGATTTTAATCCTCAGTTCATTAAGCCCATTTCTAAAAGAGCAAACTCAGCATGAGATCCAAACTTAGCTTTACACCTGTGTGCTTTTCTGTTACTCATATTTCATCCAGATGCTTCTTTCACATTAGAAAAATACAAAGGAATCTATTGTTGAGAGACTTTGTAGGCTCCATATGCACTAATAAAGGTTTCGAGAGGTTTAGAAAATAGAATGCAGTGTTTGAGAATCAGGAATCTGATTTGCATTAACAAACTTTCTAGTCATACTTATTTAAGTCTCTTTTCATAACTGCTGACACTAGTAGTCCACAAGAGTAATTCCTGCTGTTTAGTTGGAGTGGGATTTTAAGATTAATTTAGGACAAAGGTGAGTATTTGGAGAGAGAAATTACAGTAGTTTTTATTTTACTGCCTTTTTTTTCATGGATTTAGCACAATTTCCACTGAGTTACAAACTATTTACCAAACAGTTGCTAAATAAATCTCCCAGTGAGACATGGATGAAACTCTATAGCACTAATGTCTCGATTCACATCAATGAGACGTGTGGTGTGCTGACCATCTGTTATATAAACCTGAATAGGATCTGAAATCCTTACACCAAAGACCTGATTTTTTTATGCCATCGCTTTTATGAAGGTGTGCCATAAAAATGGCCATGTGCTGGCAACCTGTGCAACTGGACCCTTTTAAATCTGTGTAAAAGTGATGACATTCCAAGCATCTCAGCATCTCTTAAAATTAAAACAGCTAATTGCATTAAAGTCTGTGTGTTGAAGAGATTATGCTCTTGCTTAGGGTTTGTTTTTCCCCCCTCCCCATCTGCAAGATCCCTAATGGGGTCCACATCTGTGAGAGCAACAGCGCGCACGACAGACTGCCTCGCGATTGGCAAGCCAACTGGAAGGAACACTGAGACCCACAAGGATTGCTGGACCCGGAGGGCTTTCAGCTTGTGAGAACAACGAGCTAATTAAAGTCTGAATAAATGGAATGCCCTTCTAGTTGAAGTAAAGATAAATAAATAAATGCTTGCATGTTGTTCCAGAGGACTGAATAAAGACAGAAATATTTGTGTCGTGTTTATCTAGTAATGTCTCTTTAATTGTGAAAGGGGCCGCCAGCAGACTTGGTGAATGTATGTCCAGTTCCTGATTTCTTTTTAGTCTGTTGTTTTAATAGGAGAGGTTCAACAAAAGTAATAAAAAGTATGTTTTTATATATTTTTCACTTACTATTTAAAATTTAAAAAATCTTGGTGAGTATTTTTAACATGTCTTCTTAGCTGCTGCTTCCTTGTCACTGGCAAGTTCTGCCTCTGCTCCCGTGCCAGTGCTTCACAGGCAGATGACATTAAAGGAGCAGTATGCTTTTTTTGCAGACCAGTGATATGGTATATGCTACTGATACGTTGCTTCAGTTCTTCTTTAGTTCTTCTTCAGTTAACTAATAGCATCTTAGCCTTCCCATCCTTATATAGGGTCAGTAAGAAAAGAAATAGGGCCACTTAAACATCGATATGAGATCAATTTTTTTTTTAATTTCCTTTCTGTTTTTTACAGGCCACTTTTTTCAGTTTGTTAGATGAAACCTAGGTAAAATACATATTTAAGGAGTTATGCCTAAAACATATTTAGGATTAAATTTAATTTCAATCATGTGTAGACCATCAAGATTATTTGTATTAAAATTGAAGCCCTTGCTAAAGCGCTTTGTTAAAATGGGCCCTTGAAGGTGTCTGTTTTTGGAAGGACTGAGCAGTTTCTGTTCTCAGCTAAACCTTGTTTTAAGGTCCTTGAAAAATTAGGTCCTCAAATAGAAATTTGAGTCTCTCTAGGCATACATTCTGAAAAGATGGGGCCGCCAAGTTAGGTCTCGATTTTCCCATCTCCCATACTCACAGATGAAAGCAAAGGGTGCAAAACTCTGTAAAGAGACTCTCAGGCTGCTAAAGAAAGCTGCAGTGGTGTGCAGTCAGTGGCTTTGACCTAACATATACTGAGAAGTGCAATCACACCATTTAAAATGCAAAAAAATTAAAAAGTAGCTGTTTAGTAATCTTTTGAAAATCTAGCACTAATCTTTTTGTGTTTATACCCCTTAAATGTTGTAGTGATTAATTCCTGATTGTAGAAGTAATAAATATTAAAAATAATTAAATGGTAATTCCTTGAAGAAAATACTGTGGAGTGATAAAATAAGTATGAAATTGGATGCCTGGTCTAGGAAAACAAACAAACACAGTCAAATGAGTAGAGAAAACATATTTTTCTGCTTATTTTACAAGCAGGACTGTAAAGGAAACAATTCTCCCATTACATGTGAATAAAAATAGTGTTTCAGAGTGACTTCTCCAGACATGAGAACTCCTAGCATTTTTCCATTACCTTCATCCACATCTGCTCATTTGTTCAAAAATGAACCAGAGGTAAGTTTTTACTGAGGCGTCCTGTAAAGTTTAGCACAGAATAGCACATACACAAACACATCCTAACCATTAAACAAGGGCAGGAATATCTTAGCAAACTGCATAAAATCAGTCAGTGCTCACTTCTGTTGTCAAGAGGCAGTCCAAAAACTGATTAAGGCATTTTTTAATTCTGGTCAAAGCTCAGAAGAAATGCTTGACTGGATGAAAATAGTGAGCTGACGTTGATTAAAAGGAAAAAAGGGCAAAGAATCTCTTGGTAGATGGGATGTGCAAGCTCTCAAGATTATTTAGTGAAAAATGGGCCAAGTTCAGGCTTTGTCTGATTATCTGAGCTTAATCTAATATGGGAGAAATGAGAAGTTATTCTGTTCAAATGAACTCAGCATACTGGCCAGCTTTTAAGTCTGCTGACTGTCCTCTCCCTGGCTCCGTACTCGGCAAAGATCCCAGTTGCTGCATCTTTGGTTGCTCTCGCTCCAGCCATCCGCTCTGTTCTGCAGCGGCAAATGAGAAAAACCATTCCAAAGTAGCTGTATTTAATTTGCAAAAGTGGATTGGCACTCTATGGGCATCTAAAAACCTTACAAACGCTGATAAGGAAGTGATAGTGTTAGTTACATGCAGTACAACCTGCAATTTATGTAATATATAGATTGAAGGAAATAATGAAATACTGCAGCACTTTGTAACCTTTCAGCATGTGAATTATGTGAACTCGAGAACATTTTAGTTTTGAAAATCCTGTGAATATTTTTACCTTATGTTGCAACACGAGGACCTGAGGAAATGCTCAGTTTGGCTGTAAGTTTGAAGAGCCATCGTTACATTTGTAGCTGCTTCTGATTTCTTCTGAAGATGGGAGAATCCCAAAGGTGTGTTAGTATAATTCTTATACACCACAGAATAAAAGTTCTGGGTGAAATCCAGTCCATCCCATATGTCTGTGTAGTATCATCCATCTAGATGCATGGTAAAACAGTTTTTCTAAAGTACATGCTTAGAGTCTGTAGTTAACTGATAGACATTGATAGGTGTTTTGGAAAGCTTCCCTGGTGAGATTCTACCTCCAATGCTTCTGGTAGCCAAGGTGGGTGCCTACGAGTCTCCTTCTAGATACTATAGAAATACTGTCCTCCCCCCATTAACTGTACAAACTCAGACAGTTGCATTTCAAGTACTTAAAACAGAAGTACCGAGTCATACCTGAAGTGAACTACACCCAGTCAAATTCTTTTTTACAAAAGACCAGTCATTGTTCACCCTGACATTTTATTTTATCCATACATTACAATAATGATTTCTCCCTTCTAGAACACAACTGGAGAGGATTTCTCCAGAGGGAGGTTTGTATAAGTGAGGAATTCTGCCCATAACAAAGCCAATTATGGACGTTTTTGCCTCTAGTGCTTGCTGGGTTAACAGGGCCTCTGAGAACACAATCTCCTGCCTGCAGAGGGCATACAGCTCCTCAGTTTTCCCTGACAAAATGTATGTGGAATAGGGAGAAACTGGTGGAGCATACATCAAAGTGTTCTTGTTCACTGCTGCACATGATGCATCAGGGATATCTCCATGTACGTGGGGGTACCAAAAGTAATTTGGAGGAAAAATTGGATTCTTCCCAAGCATTCCCATATCCCTCCACCAAAGTAAATTGATACTTTACATTGTGAACACTGAAGCCTCTCTGGGACATGTGTCCAGCAGAAACATGCTGGGGGTACTCATGTTTCTTAAAAATCATCTGTTTTCATTTGTGTCTCCATTTCCAGAGCTCCCAACACAGTGGCTCCTCTACCTCATTAGCATCCACCAAAGTTTGCAGCTCTATGGATGAAAATGATGGACCTGCAGAAGGTAACATTTGGAGGCTGACATTTCAAAGCAGTCAGTGTAGTGATAACAGCAGCTGTGTAGGAAATGAGTCATTCTTCCTGTCGGAGAAGGTGGGAGCGTTGCAGACTGGATGACTTTCCATGAGGAGGCTCCTCAGCCATAGCAAACCACTTAGGTTCACTCTGGATCAGATTTGATCTGGACATCACTCTTCAGAGGTATTTTTGTTGCAGAATGCTCGAGATGTTATTTCTGCAAGCAACACAGTGCTGGCTGGCTTATTTCAGTATTTTTGTCTCATCTATCATGGTACTAAAGAACACACGGTCCTAGGTCTTTACTCAGAAATGGATATTCTTACCCCATTCTAAGGCTTTGAGCAAGTTGGCTAAGGGATAGTGTCTGCTTGAACACTACGCACATATACATATATGTATGTATGTGTATTCCTGTTTGAGAATTGCTCTTCATGCTATCTGTGAATTCAGGCAAAACCCGGCCTCCTTGTGTCATAACATTCACTTTTAATACTAAGCTGCAACAAAGGACGGAGAAAGATACAGTTAAAAGCACTGTCTTAAAGAGTGTAAACACAGATCACATTTCTGAGAGACATTTTTTTTACATTACAGTATTTATATAGTAGTTTGTATCAGCTGCAGTTTACAGTCAGCTTTTAGAAGCATGTTAGGTATTTGTAACACTATTTCAAATACCTTTAAAAATAATGGTACAGGAATGAACACTAAAACACGTTAAACTACAAACTTTTTGTATGCTTAGACACCGTGTAATGCAATTTTACCTAAACATCTGGTACCCAGGTTGCATGCAAGGTAGTATTATTGAGAACATTTGTTTAAAAACTAAATATTTAATATTGGGGGATGGGGAGAACTAGCACTTAGCACATGAGGAGTTTTATGGATGTCTCAGTTTACAGGATGTAATAAAATAAGTGCTTGAGTGTTGGACTTCTTTGGTACATATATTTAATCATGCTGTGTCAAGGAGTTCCAGCCCTTTTTGGAGGTTGGTCTGCGCTTGTGCAGATCACAAAGGCCTTTTCATAATTAAAAAAATACAACTTTGGTTTTGTCTTGGGGGCATATTGCAATGGGAATGGTAAACTATGTAACACTCGAATGGTGGTATGTTTGAGCCCCCAGAAGTCTTATTTTTCATTATTGTATCTGCATGAAACCTGTTGAGTATATACAATGTCAGCAGCATGGTTTCACTGTACAGTAAGTGAGACACTGACTGAATGGTTTCCAGGCTCCTGAACCATGGACTTGAAATACATGTTATGTGCAACATCTGTGTTTCCTTCACTAACAATAAAAATGTACTAATGATTCTTTCAGAAGTGTTGGAGGAAGGTTTCCAGGTTCCAGCATCGATAGCAGAGCGATATAAAGTTGGAAGGACTATAGGAGATGGAAATTTTGCTGTTGTGAAGGAGTGTATAGAAAGGTGAGGAGGATAATATGCTTATTACTGCAAAAAAATAATCATTAATGTCATGCTTTTTCTAGATCATGTCTTTATTTGTAGAATATAAATATGTAATAAGGTAACGTCTCAATGCCAGATGGAAAAACTTTGTGTCCTCTCATATGAAAAAAAGAGTGAGTTCAAGGGGCAATCTATGAATTTAATTCTTTGTGGGGTTTATATCTTTTGGGGGTTTTTACTGCGCTCCACATGATTTTACCAGTTCTTTTTGTTAAATCTTTTTTGGTGCACTTTTCTTGCAGTATGTTCTTGCAAGTCTCCTTTTACATTAGACCAGTGGAACATTTCACATGTAGGGGCATCCTGTAAAGATGTCAGGAAGTTTTGTTGTGTGATGTAGTGATGATGGTCAGCACAAAGAACTGACCTTGGATCCATCTATTCTGCCATCTGACACTGAGGATTAATCTCTTTCATGTTTATTGTTAATTAAATGGACATCTAATTCCTGCTTGCCTGCTTTGTGCCATTATATATGCTCCTTCCAACTTTATGAGCCTCACTGCAGACACCAGAATCTAACTTCTTCAATGACCTTTACTGTTAAGAGGTGAGAACAGTCACTGATTTTAGACATCTACTCCAGACTAGAGAAGTCACAAGTCCCCTTAAATATCAGTGTTGCTGAAAATGTCCAGGTTGACTAGTTCAGGTGTCTGTTTCTAAATCTGTTCAGGTTTAAGTTGGCTGTACCCAATCTTAAGAGTGTAAAAACCAGGGAACAAGAACTAAGCAGAACTGTGGGTGCCTTTTAGTGGTATTCTTAAAAATGGGAGAATATGGGATATAAAAGACAGAAGGTATTTCACCTGTATGTGAAATATTTGTAAGATTGCTTATGTTAGATAGTAACAGTGCAGAAAAGCAAAAAGCTGCCAGAGGTAGAGATGTCCAAAAGAGAGAACAATAGACATGTCAAGGTTTGATAATGAAATTTCATTTAATTTCATTTAAGTTTTCTACCCCCTTTTATCATATCCTAGAGAGAACACTCTTATGGAATACTGTAACCTCACCTTTGGGCTCAAAGAAAGAAATTTTGTTCTTTGTCCTATAAGAATATTATATTAGCCCTAGAGAGTCAGATTAGATCTCATGGCAGATGATGATAAATTAGCTTGACTGGTTCTAAACTAGTCTCCTTGGAAAAAGACAGGTCCTGATCTGCATCTGAAAGTGTCTAGCAAATCAGAGACCATGAAGACAGCTGCTGGGGAAAAGGAGAAGAGTGGATTTTGTATCAGCTGACAGTGTGCTTGTGGGATTTAGCCAAAGCTCTGGTGAGGCCTTTAGAGCTCTGCCAGAGTGAGTTCACGGTAGAGCTGGCCATCCAGAGGGCAATAGCTGTTCAGATCAAACCCCAGGGTCTCAACACAAAACTGGAGAATATGGAAACCTAAAGAAAGCAAAGCAAAAAATATGAAAACAAGAAAGCGCCGTAAAACCCTGTGGAGGGCCATGACTGATGAAAAAGATAGGTGAAAACACATAACTAAGAAAAGAGAAAAAGGCAGCTGAAAGGAAAAGTGAATAGTAACTGAGAGAAACAAAAATTACGAATGAAAATAAAGAAAGGTTGTGGTTTTGACACTGTCATTCATCTGAAAATGCCATTTGTGCTGAGAGACAGTACAAATCTGCTAGTGTGCATTTTACAATTTTTTCCCAAGCTGAGAGAAAATACATGAACAAAATTAAATATAGGTCTTGACACACCTAAAAATAATAATGATTACAATATCCTTGAGAGCTTGAATAAAAACTGTTTCCTGTCCTCTTGTCTATCCCACGGGTCCCAGAAGTATCTGGTAGCATAGCATATCTAATGAGTATGTGCTCAAATAGCGTGATTACCCAGGTATTCCCAGATACATTGTCTTGTGGTTTCTGAGTTATACCATTCCATAGATTCCATTTATATCAGAGAGCTACTACTTTGGCAGAGCTTGAAAATTGAAGTGGAATTATTTCTGTTAGTTTCCACTTCTAAATCAGTATACCCATCACAAGTGTGGAAGGAGAATTAAAGACTCAGAGAGTAAATTAAAGCCAGTACGTGTGAAACCCCTTCAAAAACATTCTTTGCAGTCTTTCTGAGCAAAATCCACCTCACTTCAAAGTCTGATATGTCCATCATTTGCAGAGCAAGAATTGATGGGGTGATACTTGGGATAGAGGACCTTTCCACTTTCCACTTTCTTCTGAAGTACAATTCCTGTGTGCAAAGACTTCAAAGGAATAGCACCATGAGGTGTTAAGCAAGTAGGAATGGGTCTTGTTACACAACTTTACTGGTCATGTGGATACTTCTTCTCCATAGCTCTGAGATCATTCTGTGCGCACTGGTTAACAACTCCAGCACTTCAATACATTCACAGGCATTTTCCTCTGCCAATGAACAGTTCAAATAGAAACCAAAACCACATTCAAAATTTTAATGCGAGGACTTCTAAATCTCATTCTGAGCATCTGTCAGCACACAGGCACACATACAAAAATACATTTAATGCATGCACAAAAATAACAAAGATTTTTTTCTACAGTGCAACGGAAATCGCTGTGAACTTTGCAAAAGTTTAAAAGAGCCAGGTATTGAGCCCTCGTATGGACTAGAGATTTAACTCTGTGCCCTGCGGTAGTTCAGTGGGTCCAGACTTCTGTCCAGCCATAACGTGTTGCCTACTTTTTGTGGTACCTTTTTATTGTTTGGAGTGAGCAATAGGTGAGACGTGAGATGCATGTTTCATGGTTGAGTTTCTGGCATAGCTGTGCATATTTTTTGGCGACGTGTAAGCTGCAGTGATGCTGGCAGCTGCAGTTCTGCAGCTTTTTAGGGAAAAGGATTTGCATTATCTTAGCTTTAATTTTCTTTTTACCAAAACACAGAGCAGTCAGGTTTGTCATCTGCTTGTTACATATATGCTCCATCATATGCACAATTTGTCCTGCGGTGTTTTTATATGTGTTCATTTTTAACTTTCAGATACTTCCAAATTCTGACATTTCCTCACAAGCTCAGGTTTCCCAATATTTTGGAGTACATGGAGTCTCCTATGGCCAACAAAAAACATCAATTTCCTTACTCATGACAGAAAGGAAGCATTCCTAGGGCAACCAAGTAGCTTGAAAGAGATTCCTATTGAAAGAGGCTATATTTATTCTGAGTTTGAACCCCAAATATCTTAATTTCTAGTATTTCTTGTTCTATCCCCTCCTTCTACTCCCCAAAAATAATGTCCAGAACTCTTCCTGTTACCTCACTGAGCTTTGACTGTAGCCGCTGAACAGCAGCACTGGAAAAGGGCACCCTGCATGGAGTGTGACCCATTTCAGGGGGCTGTAGCATTAAACCCCTTTGTGGGGAAGTACAGATATGAGAAGTTTTTAATTTTTCTTCGCATAAATCTTGAGCAGACATGTTGTACTTTTTTTTCCCAAGTCATAAACTTATTTATACTGCATGATTTCTTTGGATAGCCTTTTAATAGATGTCCTAATAAAGACCGTCTTTGCTCTCTGCTGACCTGGGAACTGAAGCAGAATTAATATTTTGAGATTTTCTTTACTTTTTACTGAACTACCCATTTTTTCTTAAATTAACAATTAGTGATACATCATTGCCAGAGGAGTTCTTCATGTTTTAATATGGCAATGAAAATGCCCAGTTGATTTCCAGATACAGTGCTTTCAGTCACTCACTTTGCATGTCCTATTTGACAGACTGAGCACACTTTTAGACACATTAATTTCTCTGTTTAACATACTATGTATCAATTTAATGTATTGGTTTAACTATGTTTTGTGAAATGAAGAATGAAAAAATGATCTTGTATTCTTGAAAGGTTATCTTTCGTTATTTTTAATCAAACATAAGCCTAAGGGCAATGTAATAGACTTTTTTAAGCTGTTTAGGTTCTTAATAAAAAATGAAAATGTTTCAGTAAGATCTTTTTCTTATATTACCCATTCTCTGTTTAATCTTACAGTGAAAGTAGGGCTTGTGAACAGAGCTTCTTGTTTTCATTGTTATAGTCGTCTTTCGGTTTTGTAACTTGGTTAAGAAATGGAAGTTGATACTGTTAGCTTGTCTAGAAGCTAATTTTTTTTTTATGTTAGCATTCTATATAATAGATATCTACATATATGTGGTAGTGATAAATATAAGGTTTCAAAGGAACACAATGCTTAAAAGGAAATGTGTTCTCATCCTGAACTAATTTCTCTGTAATTTTTTACTGTCTCCCCAATGTTTCACATTCTGTCCTAAAACCCAGCATATTTAACTGAATACATAAAACATTAATCCAAGGACTGACCTTTTTATCATAGCAGTTGTGAGTGCAGATGTGCAAACAAATGACTTCTTTTCATTTTAAGTAAAAAGTAAGTAAGTATTTTTGATGGGTTATATTTTTTGTATAATATAAAAAAAATCTTTTTTGTTTTGAAAATATTTGGATCTGTGGACAATATATGGTGTTTTTACATAAAAATCAGAATACTATTACTATTACAAAATTTTTGTTTTCAAAACATTGCAATCTCTTTATTTAAAAAAAAAAAGTTTGATTCTTTTTCCTCAGGCACACATATTCAACTGCTTTGGCTCAAGTTCACAATACCAATTGAATCTAAGCTTCATTTCTTGAAAAAAATGAATACTTGACTAGAATTCTTCACTAGACTTATTGTACTCAAATGACAAGTATAAACTTGACTGAGAAAAATATTCAATGTGATTGAACATAAATTTTTTTTCTTTTGTCTTTCCTCAGATCAACTGGTAGAGAATATGCTCTGAAAATAATCAAAAAGAGTAAATGTAGAGGAAAAGTGAGTACAAAAAAAATTTGAGACCAAAAGATTTTTTTTTCCAAGAAATGTTTTGTGAGATCAGTTTGGGAAGCTGTTGGTATTTGTCTCCTTCCTGACAATCATTAGAATCTTTTTGGTTGAAGCTTTTGCCTGCCCTCTGGAGACTCTTGAAATATCAGTATAAAAGGCTGTTGTATGACTTTCCAGATGCATGTGTTGATTCTTCAACTGGTTGGTTGTGTGTGATTCTTTGCTCTTTACCCTATAATTATGTCCTCTAATTTTCATAATTCCACATGTTATAGAAAACAGAATAATAATATGAATAATTATAACAACACCAGTCACTGTGTCTGAAGAGTAGGTTAATCAAAGTAATGTCAGTTTTATACCAAGTGACTGTTAGCTTTTGAAATCTGTAACAAAAAGTTCTCTGAGAAGATGCTATCATATTGTTATATCAAAAGATTCTTGATCAGAGAAAATTTTAAAAGCTCCCATATTTAATTTTTCTCTGCATCAGAAACATCTAATTTCCTCCATTTCTTTTTCTATGTTCTACTCTCTCTTCTTTCAGTTACCACACTGATATTGTTTCTAGACATGTTCCTTCTGTATTGCTGGAGGCAACATCTGTTAGGTTTTTCAAAAACCCTGAAGAATTCACACAGGGCCCATTCTCTCTGCTTTTTCCACTATCAATTTTTTTCCCACCAACTGGTAGTCATTAAAGATTTTTTTTGTGTGGCAGGAACACATGATCCAGAATGAGGTATCTATTTTAAGACGAGTCAAGCATCCCAATATTGTACTTCTAATTGAGGAGATGGACATGCCAACTGAGTTGTACCTTGTCATGGAACTTGTAAAGGTGAGTGTTTTGGAGACAAGCTGCTTATGAATTGTTTTAATCATCTTGAGAAATTCCATTGGTACCAAGGCTTACTAAAAAACATGGGATCATAGAATAATTCAGAGCGGAAAGGGTCTCTGGAAGTAGTCTAGCATACTACTGAAAGATGTATAACCCACTGTCAGATTTTTTGTTTTAGTTTTTGAATACTTAAAATATTTGTCTAACTTGCTGTAAGCCACATTTGGAAGTGCTCTGTGGACAGTATTTTGAGGATCACCAGTTTTATTTGCTTACTCAGAAGAAGTCTCTTTAAAAAGTAATAGTCTGCCTTGAAGTGAATTGAAAATACACCCAGTCCAAAGAGCCATAAATACCAGCCTTAAAAATAAAAAATTCTTCGATAAAAAAATTAAATTATTTTTTATAATTTATGTTAAATCTAAACAATATTACATCTTTTTTCTCTGCTGATTTATATTAACACAGTGTCAGACTTGCCTCCTTGATAGCAATCTAAATTTAAGCTCAAGTAAGGCAGAAGTGAAAGAGAAAAGCCTGCTATGTAAAGCATGGTTGTATTCTGAAAAGTAAATTTTGGAATGCAGTATTTTATATTTTGGACCCCATTTATTTCTTCATAGTAACTTTCAGATCTCATGCATTTATTTCACTCTCTCGTAGAACTATATATTCAAACTCAATTATGAAGCTCAGACCGTGTCATCTTTTGCCCCCATAATGTCAACAGTGCAGTGCAACAAGTATGAGTTTAGCTTTCAGTTCTGGTACTAATACACAAGTATGTCCCTGTGCACAAAAGGTGGTAAAAATACATTTGCACAAACTGTGCAAATTAGAACAGAAAACTACTGAGGATGTCTTGTCCTCCATGTGTAGTTTAACAGGATACACTGTTTTTCCCATTCACTAGTGGGATTTGTGATTCTCCTTTCTTCCTCAACTGTTTTGTGGGAAGGACATCTTTTCAGCAGCCACCTCCATTTCTGTATCCTGATCAGCACATTCTCCAGGGGCAGACTACACCTGGGAAATCCACAATTTTAAGTGTTTAAGAACAAATACGACAGTGAAGTTGTGCGGCAGCAGCATTTGTGTGCAGGTCTGTTGTGTGTGCATGCTCAACACATGAGCAAATTGGGCACTCTGAACCCTGTCACCCAGATCACTCCACTCAGAGTGTGTTCCTCTTCAGTGGGAATCTTCTGTATCCATGGCTAGAAACAGGCACCACCAGGGGTCATGAGACAAAGCAATTTTTGGCAAGCAAGACTATAATCTCCTTTGCTCTGATTGTAGATAGAGATAAGGGGATGCTCTTAATGTAGTCATCTCATTGGGATTTTACATAGGATAATCCCAGGTACAAGTGTTTCTTAAAGAACTTCTCAATTTCTGGTCTGGAATATGAGAGCAAGTTGAATGACAAGTTTTTTTGTTTTGTTCCATTATCTCCTATGCTTTGTGGCAGCACCAGTGACACAAGCCATGTTCCCAGTCCAGAGTTGGGAGACTGACAAGTATGGCTCATGGGTGGATGGCCATAGATTTTCCCTGTCCTTGTGGCAGTCTGAGACAGTCTTGTTATTTATGAGGGGCTCAGGCCATGCCCCAAAGCTGAGGAGATGGCAAAATTGTCCTCTTAGGTCTGAGCCTGACAGATGCCCCACTTTACTTGAGTGGTGCTGTGGACCTTATGGTCCCACTAACCCTATTGTCCACCACCTCCAAGCTCTGAGGAAGCACACTGGGAGATGCTGATGGCAAGGAGCATACCTTTTTTTTCTCTAATGGAGAAGTTACATCCTAAGAAAAAACAAAATTACTGACACTCTTTCCCACTATGAATCCCTCTGTATAACCAGTCCCAGAATCATTTTCCCACTCCCTTCACAGTCACAGCCCTCTTTCACTCTTAGGCATGCAATGTGAAATAGTGCAGCCTGAGGTCAGATACTATTAGCCATCTAACACTATTTTAATCATAATTACTGCTCTATTCCATGATAAGTGAGCTCACTATGAGATCCATGTTACTGTAGTTTTTTTCCCAGTGTCCATGAGAGCTTGTTCAAAGGTACCTCAATCCTCTTACATACCATTGTGATCTAATGTAGCCACAGCTTCAGCCTGCATTGACAAATCCTTCATCTTGGCCCCAGGAGGTGTGCTAAGAAGTAAAAGCTGTGCCTTGTCTAACCTGCCAAGATAGTAAGCACATAGCTGGTTTTATGGGTGCATCCTGCTGTGCTATTCATGGTTGAAAAATGTGCAAACTGTAGTCTCCAATGGCTTTTTAGTCGAAGTCCTACTCAGCTAAATGAGAGAGGAGGGGACTGACAACTCTTAGAAAATAATTAGTTTAAAAGATGTATATAAAGAAAACCATGCATTATATTCACTTTCTGGAAAAATCTGTTTTCTTGTGCTCTTTCTTCTTTACTCTTCAAGATTGCTGCACATGCTAAGATATTTATGCTTTTAGCTGTGCTATGGAAGGGCTTTATAGACATCTCTGTACTTCTGGTATCCTAGAGAGCACTGTTTTCATATTCTTTACTTTTACGTGGAATAATAGAAGAAATTTAGAAGAAATGTCCCGCTTCTTGAAAGTCAACTTTGTTTTTTTGACGCAAGAACCTATTCCTCAGTATTTAATTGGGAAAAAAAAGACTCTATGGGCACCAGGGAATGTATTTCTGGAAGGACATTAATTGTTAATTCACCAATTGCTGATTGTTACCATTTCATAGTGTGCACTGTTAGAATTGATTAACCATCTGTTATTGACTGACTTTTGAAGACCTGACTTTAAATCAAACTCACAGACAGGAAAGAAAGGCAAGCAGAACAGGCTTGATACTGCAGAGCCCGGTTTCAGTTAATACCACCCTGCATTAATTGGCAGTAACATGTTTGACATAAGTGGCTGCTGAAAATCCTGCCCTCACCTCATGGCAGATAGGCCATTCATGACTTTGTAAAGTGTAAGAAAAAGCACTTCATAAATACAAATATAAACACATTGCAAGTGGTGCTTGTAAAAGGAAGCAAAGACCTGGTTTCTGGCACGTTGCCTTTTTACACAGAGAAACAAAATTGTTATTCAAACCTAACAGGGGTTTGGCCAATTTAAGAAGCAAGATTTATTGCAGAGTTTCCTTTACTACTCCAGGATATGATTTCACTTTTGCAGAAGAAAAAGAGGGATCATATCATTTACATAGCAAGGTAATAAATAAATAATTGGTTACTGTATTTCCAAGTACACTTCCTCATGTGCACAGATGACAAAAACTGCATTCAGATGTTCCTGGTTCCGTTTCACTCCTGAACAGGGGATTTAAGACTGAAATGTCATCCTGAACTCACCCCTTGTGCCTGAATAAATGATAGTGACCTGCTGTGTGAATCGGCTTAGCAGAACCTTGCAGGTTGAAGTGCTCTTTGGGGAGAAGAAAGTCTGAAAACAATTCTGCCTGATATAGCTGTCAGCTCTGTTAACTCTTTCCAGGATATCATCTCTCTTTTAACCACACAGAGAATCCCACAGACTAAATATATACTCTCTGTTCTTATCAGGCTACCTGGAAAGAAACTTTACCGAGTACAATAGACTGCTTAAATGGAGAAAATTATTCTGCTTTAGATTGGCTTGACCATCTGTTAAATTGCTCTGCAGCCTCTATCTTTTTCTGAGTTCATGTTTCTTCTGTGCATGAACATTTACTTCTTTTCTTCTAACTTCAAGCCAAAATCTTTCCTTCTCTTTTTAAGGTTCAGCTTCTTTCCTTCTTGCCTCTTATATCTCAGCTTGGACTATATTCTTTCTTTTGAGGCAGATGTTTTGCTGAAGTTACTGACACTTCTCCTGAGCATCTGGAACATATTAGATAAGACCAAAGATCTGTCTAATCCACTACCTCATGTTAAAAAGCAGCTGGTACAGGGGTTTCACAGGAAGGAGCTTAGGGAAGATAGATTATTTATCTCACATACTTTCCCACATGCTGATGTCTAATACTTAGGGATCAGATAATGCCATGAAGTACATGGTATTGTACTTTTGCCAAATATTTGCTCACTCTCTCTCTCTCTAATCCTCTATCTGGTTTAGTTCGGCCTTTTGTTCTTCCTTTTCCTTGACACTGTGTGTCTTGATGTGTCTTGAACAGTCACCAGCCAGAGTAAGAGGTTTGATGTGGTCCAGATTTGACAATGGTTGGCTGTAAGAAGTTTCCAAAGAGCTGGGGTTTTACATCTACAATGGTAATAAACCTGCCCTGGCATACTTCAGCTGCACCTCAATGATGCAAAAATTTTAATAGTTTGTTTAAGTTTTTTTATAACAAGTAAAGTCTGTTTTATCAGATTTGAGTCTTTGGTGGTTCTCTTTTCCTAACCTTTTCTCTGTAGCCATGATTACTGGAAAAATTCTTTTTTATCTTTTTTTCTTTTTTACCCCTCATCCTTTCTCTTTGTGGAAAAAGTGTTTACTCTGGAGCTGAGCCTTAAAAAAACCAACCCTCAAATAATCTTGAGGCTGTTGATAAAATCGTGAGAGTTGGAAAAGCTGAGACTCCTCTGCTGCCTTCAGAAAAACCTACATGTTCTTCAAAATACAGTCTCCTGTGGGTTTTTTTCTCGACATTTTGACTGCAGCAGGGATTTTTTTGCATTGTTTTTGCAGAATTATCCTTTCCCTCTTTTTGTTATTGTTGTTGGTTTTGGACTGTGTTTTCTTTATGGTTCTGCTTTGATTTTGGCTAGAGGCTCAATACCTTTGAGTAGTCTCTCTCAAAAGATGATTGAGTTTTCCTCCACTCTGTCAAGCTTCCTTCTTAATCTCATTTTTAAACTTACAGTTTTGTCTCACATACTCTTCTTCCCACTTGCCGGCTCATCTCTGGAAATACAGTCCAAATGTCATGGTTGCCTCAGATCCCGGTGAAGATGATTTCAACTTTGAGGATTTCTGCTTAACTTTTTTTCTTTTCTTTTCTTCTTTCCTTTTTTCTCTCTATTATTTTCTTGTTTTTTCTTTCACTGGCAGTACCTTCTAGCTGAATCAGGCAGCATGATGAGCTGGAAATTGCACAAGCTACCCCTCTGTGTCTTCCAGTGCCTGACATACATGCTGTAAAGTTCTTCAGAATTAGATACAAGAGGCATTACACTACCAAAAACTTCATGTTTTGTGTAGAGAAAGTGCTGGTTTCTAAAATCCATGATTTCAAAGATTTATGAGATGAAAACAGACGATAGCAGTGAGGGCAGGTAGCTAATTTCAGTTTTACTCAGAGTTCCTTCATCTTTCTGGGGTTCAGTCAGGCACTGGGCAAAAATTTGATATCAGTCTGTTTGTGATTATAATAAAGAATGGAAAGAGTTGGTACATGGCATCATGACAAGTAAGTATGTAGTCTTGCCAGAAATTTGTAACAGAGGCTCTGAACACACAGGTTGGCAAGTGCTGGACATGTTACAAAAGCAGCAGCAGGTGGGAACAGTTTGCAATAGAGACTCCAGCCTCTTGGCTGACCAACTCAACCATAACGAAGGGTTCTGACTTACTGATCTGCTCAGCTGACATAATGGAGGATGTAATCACAATACCCCTAGTTTATAGCTGCAAGGAAAACTGTGCTGCTTCTCTCTTCTCCTCCTCCTCTTCCTCCTCCTCCTCTTTCTTCTTCTCCTCCTCTATAAATTATGTTCCTTGATTTTCCCTAAATATTTTCGTTATTTCATAAGCAGTATTGCTCATATCCCATGGTAATTTTGCTCCAGGGAGGAGATCTTTTTGATGCTATTACTTCCACCAACAAATACACAGAGCGGGATGCCAGTGGAATGCTTTACAATCTGGCCAGTGCCATCAAATATCTTCACAGCCTGAACATTGTCCACAGGGATATCAAGCCGGAGAATCTACTGGTAAGTGAAGATTCAGCTTTCAGTATTGTTGATAACTTGGGAGTGTGTGAGAGAACTTCTTCCTCCTTCCACACATCCACTCAGTTTATTTCAATGTTTTAAGTAATTGGGTTTTTTTTAATTTTAACCTTTGCATTGTAAAGCTCTTCTAAGAATAACAGCTATAATTAACAGTAATAGAAGGTGGTATGTCTAGACTGTTATGTGGCACACAGCAGCAAAGTTATTCCTGGAATCACTAGAAGTGACCTTTTAGTAAACTTCAAGATAATTTCAAGTTTTTCATAAATATAAAAGTGTTCTGTCCTCAGCAGACTATTCTGTACTTTTGCTGCTGCCTAAGTAATTGGCACCACTTTAGTTTTACAAGTATGGTGCGCGTAAATGCTGTGCCCTAATCGTGTCATACATCAGAGCAGAGACAGGAAGAGACTTCAGTGTCCTTTCTTCCCCTACTGCATCTCCCAAATAATCCTATAACACTTTTTATTAAGCCACTTTCCCAAATAGACAGCCTAAATCTTCCTTTTTCTGACTGAATCTGCATGAACCTTATGCACTGAAGGCAATGGAAAACATACCATGACAATTAGTCTTTCTTCTCAGAATTTTGCACTCTTGAATGCAGCAATTGTATCCTTCACATAGGTTTATTTCTTCTGATAAATTAACAACTTCTGATTATTTCACTGTTTTGAGTTTTCTCAAGTTTGCTGACATGTTCCAGCTGTAACTCAAAATTGAGATGTCCCAATTCTCCATATATTCTGCAACCATAAAACAATGTTCGTAGAATCATAGAAGATCAGTTCTTTCAGTTGTTTGCTCTCTGCCATGACATTTAGTCCTGTTTGACACTGAAGAGGTTTTATGAGAATGTCGAGTCAAGTAGATCTTACTAATCTTCCAGAGAGTGGGATTTTTACAGTTTAAGTTCTTCTAGTGGACAGTGGTTTTGCTGTTCTGGGTGAGGAAGTAACTTGCCCTTGTTTTCTGTAAACTGATGAAAATATACTGAGTAGAAGTTTCACTAGACAATAATGACTGATACACCTTTCTTGGCCCTTTTGCTCCTTTCAGCCCTGGTGCTGGAGTTGATAGGTGGCTACATGCAGATGTTGTAGCAATGACATGCCAGGATTCCTTAATGTTATGCCTGTAGTGTGCAGGAGGGTATTGGCCTAGGGCAAGACTGTCTTGACTTGTCTATAAATGCCTAAAGTCTATTGTTGTCAGACTTAAGCTTTTGAGGGAAGAGAGAAAGGTGAGCTGAGATGGGGACAGCAGGGAGGGGATTAGATTTGCCTGCCCAGCTTTTCTGCTAATTACCCACTACCAGGTGTGATAAAACTGTTCACATTGTAGCTGAATTGTTTTTGAATGACTTTTCCAGTGTTCTGCGTTGATATTGATATTGATATTGATATTGAGCAGTGAGGGTGTGGCATTTAACCTCCTACAGCATCCTAATTCTCAAAAGCCAGCATCTGATTCACAAATTATATTAATTCTCTAAGGTTTATCAGGTCCTTGAAAGAAAACAATGCTGCTTTAGAAGAGCACTTTGGTAAGCACCTGAGCTTACCTGAGCTCTGACCCCAGCTCTGACACTGTTCTTAGTGTCTCTGAACCTTTCTACTTCTGTCTTAGCTGTCAAATGGAATGTGTGGTTCCTTGTGTCACAAGATTGCAATTAGTTATTTTAATGGCATTTATAAAACACTTGAAAAATGTCACATGGGTCTTAGTCTTTCTTTTTCTAAATACTTTCTACTTGCCTTTTGTCGCCTGCCCTTTTCCTTGCAGCTCTTTAACCCTTCACCTAAGTGATCAGGGCAGTATTTTTCCCTCATTGTTCTTGTGCTGTGTCTTTCCCTCTGTTACTGTCACAGTTTTGCACGTGCAGACGGCTGGTAGTGTTGTTATAGGAGGTTCTCCTGGATACTAGTGTGAGAATCAGCCCTTCCTACACTGCCTTTTTCCTGCCCATAGGTTGTAACTTTAAGTTCAGGGGAACCTATAACAGGCCTGCCCAACGCGGAGCAACTAGATGGGGTTGGAAACAGCATCTACCCCGGTCAATACATGTTCCGAGGCTAACAGCCCCACTAGCAGAAAAAAACAACAGGGAGAATGAGCAAGTTACTTGAGGAAAAACATGGAGAGTGAAGGGGAACATGGTGTTCTGGAGAGGGCACCCCAAAGAGGATGTTCATCCAGAGCCTCTTTATTTCATCTATTATCAGCCCCGGGGAGAGCCTTCCCCTTCACCTTCTCCTTTCTCTTCTTGGTTCTTCCTTTTCTCCAAATGTAACTTCCATGCTTAGAACTGATGTGTGCAATGGGCTATATATCCTGCTAGTAAAAAACCTGTCCTATGTGCAACACCCATTATTTTAGTAAATGCTTAAATATTATCCTCAAGGATAATTATTATCCTTATATATTATCCTCAAGGTGTGAAAAGGCTACTTAACAGTCAATTGTCCAAGAGTTTAGGATATGCTGAATACCTGTGATGTTTTAGGGTTTTTTGGGTTTCTTTGTTCTCTAGGGAGTGTCTTCCATGTTTTAATTGGAACATTTTTCATAATTGCTGCTATTTAGTATGTTTATTTTGTCAAGTCATGGGATGTCTTTATAGCCATATAATAAACCCTAGAGAACAACTTCTCTGACTGTTACCATCTGCACTGATCACAAGAGCAGCTTAGAAAATACTGACAGTCTTTATACTAATAGGATACATATGGTGGCACACAATTATGTGTGACTGCATTCAATTAGCGTTGTACAATTACACAGTTTTATTGCTTAGTTAAAACAGTGAAAGCACTTCATAGTGGGCAATTTGCACTAATCCCCATTTCTTTAATTGCCCTTCAGTATTTAAATGCAGTGGAACATGTATAGCATTTATTCTGAATACCATGAGCATTACATGACCTTTCCCATTCCTTGACTGGCAAGTAACATACCACAGCTTCACACTGGGCTTCTTTTTATATGGAGTTACAACGGGGTGAGGAAAAGTTACTTTCTTCAGTTTTACAAGTCAACTGAAATAGTTTTCCAATGAAAGTAATTCGTAGAAACAGATGAAGTAAAATACTAGAAAATACACAGTATCAAACCTTCTGCATTGGTAAATGTTGCCAAACCAACCTCTTCTGTAATTAGTTTCTAGTGTAGATGAGTCACACAAGGTATGATCTGTTGAAGGAAGGAACTTACTAATGTTCACTAGGTTAGCACAATGCAGAAAAAGTTTTATAAAAGGTAACTGCATGAAATAGAATACAAAATGCTAATTAGGCTGAATCCAGCTCTGATGTCTAAGTGCACACTTTACATTTTCTGCAAGCGAATATTTAAAGCCCTAGTCTCTAGACTTTAATTAAAACTGTTGTTGAAATTAGATTTATTACTGCCATTTCAGAAGAGCACTTTCTTTAGTTTCAGGAACCAGATGTATTTAACAATCTGTGTTTTTAATAAAACCATAATTGCCTTTTTTTTTTCCCTGTGCTTTTCTATAAGCATATCTTTTTTTCTGGCTTAGTAGAAGAGAAATATGAATCCGTTTTAAATTGCTGGTCCTCTTAAAGGTCCAGTTGAATTCTTAAAAATAACATAATGAAAGAAGAAGAACTTTGTGTATTCTGAGTGTCTGCTTGTGACTGTATCACCTGGTAAGCAGAGATTCAGGACAGGGAAGGGTTTTCTCTCTAGACATGACTAAGGAGAAACTGGGGGATGGGGGCTGTATAATATAACTAGTTATGAGCTATAGCAGATCCATAGTGAACAGTAGTGAGAGACTTCAAGAATTGGTTTTGTACCAAACGAACTGTTCAAGGGTCCCTTGTAGAATTTTTTGGATATTTATAAGAAAAAAAATCTAGTATTTTTTTCTTCAAACACTTGTAGATAAACATGATTTAGGAGTAGCTGGTCAAGATATGTATTAAGAATGATTTTGGTTTTGATCGAGAAGTATAGTGTCTTCTATTTATGCATGGTTTTGCTGCGAATTGTTGTCAGGATATCACTATTGGGAGCCAGACTACATGGAGCTTTGATTTGGGTTGCAAAATAATGAAGTGATACATATATACTAAAAGAAGGCCTTCTGTAGACCATTTCTATCTTTTTAAGGTGCCTTTGTAGAAAACATATCAAAATGGGAAGGAAGAACTCAAACCAGCAGCTGAATTTTAGAAGGACTCACAGCCTCGTGTTTAAGTTAGATACATTTTTGTATTTTTTATTTTAAATATTTTTTTTGTAAGTTTTCAGTGATTACAAATTTAGGGCTGTTCTTTTGCTCTGAACCGGCCCTTAAAATTGTGTATTTTTTACTGATGTTTTTAGTCTTTTTTCTTGTGACTGTATCTTAATCTCCCTTTGTACCCATAAAAACCCATGAAAGATCATGCTCCTGCTGTAAAGACCATGTTTTAAGACAGGATTGTCATGTATATCCATTAGCAGCCCTAACTGCCTATGTCCCACTGATCATGATGGTAACATGCCAGTAAGACACTGGTTGGTGTTTAATAGTCATCCAAGGAGAGGACAGTATGTCTAGGTGAAATAGTCCAGCCAGGTTTGTGTCTTGTGATTTCAACACACAGAGAAGAATCTGGAACAGTGCAGTCACTTTTGTATTATCTAAGTAGTTGAAGTTCCTCTGCAAACCTTTAAGCTCTCTGCAAGAGTTTTTAAACTCAAAACCCTACACTGTGAATTGGCTGTCAGTGGGGAGTTAACCTCAGAAAGCCACTGTTGGAATGCCATGCATTTGCTTCTGGGTTTTAGTGTCTAGCAAGTGGTATGTCCTTTGTTGGCCAACTGGTGAGATAAGTCTTTCCTGAACACCCTGTCTGTGTTCAAGGAAATTTGTCCAAATTGTCTGTGAATTTTCAAAACTTACAGAGGAATATGTTGAATGTAAGGAGGAGAAAAATTACTGTAAATAAGAAGGAACATTTCAGGCAGTTAGTAAATGATATAGTAGTTACCTTGGTGGTATTGTGGTAAACTTTTGAATTTTCCTCCTAACTTAGGTTTATGAACACCAAGATGGAAGCAAGTCCCTTAAGTTAGGGGACTTTGGCCTAGCAACAATAGTGGATGGACCTTTATATACTGTTTGTGGGACCCCAACATATGTAGCTCCAGAAATCATCGCTGAAACTGGGTAAATCACTTTTAGTAATGATTCATTGATGTGTACACAGTGGAGCATATTCTCGACATTGTGCCAGATAGGAGTTCTTGCAATTAAGATTTTTATGCTGCCTTTGCTTGGCTATGTTGCAGAACAATTAAATTGGAAGGGACCTCTGGAGGCTGTGTTATCCAAACCAGCTCAGAACAAGGCCAGCTGTGGAGTTGTATTGGTCAATCTCTGCCAGTTGTTGACCTCAAACTTCTCATCTTAACACTGAGTTACTAACTAGCCATTTACAGATACAAGAAGTAATTCTTAAACTGTTCTCAGAAACTGCTAACTACCATTCACTTAATTTTATTTCATTATCACACACTGTCCTCTTCTGATTTGTTCCACAGAGTAACTGCCTGCTGGCTTGAGCAGGCTGTGTCACTTTTGCAGACTTCATGATGATAGGCATTACTGTCTAACTCAAGCATACAGCCAGATTTCTTCTGTGCACTCACACATTCTGATCTAATTATAATTTTAAGATGTAAATGTAAAAAATATTTGAAAGCAGAATTAGGATTGAGAGGTAGGTAAAATTCAGATGAGAATTTATAAGAAGTTATTAATAATTCTGAATGTTTCCCCTCTTCTTGCCTGTTGTCCATAGGAGTCCGATGTCTCTAACCATGTCTCTCACACTTCTAGATATGGCTTGAAGGTGGACATCTGGGCAGCGGGTGTGATTACTTACATCCTGCTCTGTGGTTTTCCTCCATTCCGTGGGTATGGACTGATCTATTCAACCATCCTTGTTATGCAAACTAGTCCCTATGCTGCTTTTGCATTAAGCACAGAGATTGCCACTGGTAAAAGTTCTCTGCTCGTAGGGTTTGGTTTTTTTCCTGTGCTCTGCACAGTGTTTTACACAAACCCCATAAATGTCTGTGATTTTACTGTAAGATCTCTGTCTCGTGTTTGTTTATTTTAGTTTAAACTTCATTGTATTACGAAACAAGAGCCTCCATTACAGGTTCTGTGTGCCTTTGCCTGATGTTTTAAATACACAATGAAATAAGCATCTTCTTTCATGAGCCAAACACAACATATTTTGTGGCTGGTAAAAGGTATTTAAAAAGTAAGCCACTTAATAAGGACATGTCAGATATTTTATTTCCCTCAAAGCAATTGCAAAGTTATGGGTAATCCTAAAGACTAGCCGGTTACTTCAGAAAGAGTGCACCAAGCGCATTGTGTTTTATGATCTCACCATTCACACCCTTGACTGCATACTTGGGGGAATCAACAGTTTCCATAAGCATACTAATGGATCAACAGTTAAAAGCAATTTCAAAAAGTCTATTGGAACCATTTCTGGAAATAATTTTTTCTTTGGGTTTTGTTGTTGGTTTTCTTTTGTTTTTACCTTACAGAAGTGGAGATGACCAAGAAGTACTTTTTGATCAGATTTTGATGGGACAGGTGGATTTTCCATCTCCATATTGGGATAATGTTTCTGACTCTGCAAAGGTGAGTTTTATAGTTGCTGATACTTTCTTCTCCATTATTATTTCCAGTGAGAGTATCTAATGCCCGTTGTTCTTTCATAGTGCTGTATTTGACGTCTCATTCATCTCCTGCTATACCTATAAAGTCCTCTGGGTCACCGAGTATGTTGTTGTATGGTTACTGTCTGCTAGACTTCAGGTGGTTCTGAAATGGACCCTGTTCTGAAAGGACATGATATCGCTATGTGATGTTGCACACAATAGAAACATGAGTAGCCCTTACTGATTGAGAAAAATTTAAATAACTTCGCTTGACCTACACTTCTTAGCTTGAAAGCTCCCTGGGACTGTGCTTTGTATGGACTTATGGGAAGGACCAAGTACCAACCTGGAGCTTTTGAATATTATGTAATAATATTATGGGGAGGCTGGTTTCCCTTATTAATCCCATTAGATGTTATATGGGTTGTTTCTTTCTGTCAAAGAACTAGGCCTCCCCATTACCTTATTGTTGTATTATGGTATGAAATACAGACTTGTTTGGGTCACAGTTCTTGGACTGTAGCCTTTGGTGTTCTAAAGCAGATACGTCCTGCTTTTACAGATATGTGGAGGGTGATCAGGACTAGCATTTTAGCCTGTTAACTAGTGAGGTTAATGAATGAGATACAGTCATAGAGTTGGAAGTCCTCTAAACCACATCATTGTGTTGTAGCAGGCTTCATTTCATAGCATCATAATTAGGAACTCTGCAAGTCCTTTGCCAGTGGTGTTTTCCTGTGAAGCTCCTTCTTCCAAATAGTGCAGTCTAAACTTTCTGTTTTGAAGCATTAACCTATCCATTTTACTTATCTTTGTCACTAAGAATTACTAGCTTTGGTCTTTGTTGATACACCTTTATTTGCTGCCATGTTGCCATCCTGGTTTTGCCATGCACTCCACTCAGTGGTGGAATTATATATATGTTTATTTACATACTAACCTAATTTCATGCAACCATCTGTTTTGCACATTATGTATTAAGTGCTTTTCTGTTAAACAGTGGCTTCAGAACTGTAACTCAGAAATGTCTTCTAGCTTTTCAAGGTACAGATAGATGTTAATTTAAAAGTTCATCTGGATGTTCAGCAGTTCATAGTTGTTCTATTTTTTAAATAATATATTTCTGTAGTTGGTAGTTCACTCTCCCTTTGAGCACTCCTACAAAATCAGTTAAAGAGCTCTTTAGTGAGTGTTGATTTGTTCTTTAAAAGTGTTCTCTAATTTTGACCCGGTGTTCCATTTCTCAGGAACTTATCACAATGATGCTTCAAGTAGATGTAGATCTGCGGTTCTCAGCCTTGCAAGTTCTTGAGCATCCATGGGTTAATGTAAGTATTTTCAGACTTGGAGATGCTTCTTGCAATTTGGCATCTTTTAGCTCTTTCCTGTCAAGTCCCTGCTATGCCCTTTTGAAAGCCAGCACATTCTAAAAATGCCACAGATTTAACTGGAAATAAGCTGGGTTACATGCTTATTTAGTGTATGACATGTACCTTGGAGTTTACACTATTATATGCATGCTCAGCTACATTTTCTCTAAATATTTTGAGCCAGATTTTCAACAAATTTCAATGACATTTGATAAATTTATATGTCTAAAAATCAGCTTGAAGCTTCAGTGACACATTTTGTTCTCCTAAAATCAGATGGACTCAAAAATCTCACAGTCATGATTAAGAGTTACTGCAATGTAGTTCATAGTATTAAGCTACTTGATCCAGAATGAAACAAGGAAACCTTTAGAATCATATTTAGCTTCTGATGATAATTAATATTTGTTAATTATTTCAGACTATTTAACATGTCTTAAAATATTTGGATGACAAGCAATAAAAATATGGGACAGTCTATATTCAAATTCAGAAGGGACAACTGAGAAAAGAAACACAATTGGGATGAACAGAGAAAAAAAATTGAAGGAAGAAGAAATAATGCTTTGTTTTGTTTGTCACAAGCTTGAGTGTGCATTCCTCGCTGGAATACAATTTGATCCCTCAGCTGCTGTATCCAAAATCCCTTTCCCACTAAAACACTGTTCTAAAAATTCAAATATATAGTAACCTCAGATGTTAATCTTTTTTTATGAAAATGTCCACCATGTCATCCACAGTAGTGGTGATCAGTTAAGCATTTACCAAGTATATGTTTTAGACTTGGAGGCTTCCTTATTGCCCAAACCATTTTTTTTTAAACTGCAGATGCTTTTATCATGCAGAGGACTTCTATGATGTACAAAGAGTGCAGGAAAACATCTGATGAAAATCTTTTCATTTTTAAGGTGACATTCAAGCACCTGAAATACTAATTTTCCTTGATGCCAGGGGCTGTCCTTGAAACACAGTGTTCTGTCACAGTTTATAATGCCTTTTGGTGATTGAGGTGTCTCTGTGTCACCATGGGAGGAAGATGAGTGGAGATTTCTGGAGTTCTGTAAGGGAAGAGATGGAACTGACTGACCAGAAGCCACAGAGAGGCCAGGTCACCCGAAGCATCAGCACACTCATCAGCACACTGCTGCTGAGATTACTGAAATATCACCTGTTTACACCATTTAAGGATGTGGTCACTTATCTTCACCTTTTTCTGAAAAATATATTTGAAATATTAATGCTACTCCCAGATGGGCTTTTTTTTTTTAATTCAGTTACACCATGGTGTGTTTTAGGAAGCCATTTTAGCGCAATATATTAAAAAGAGCGTGCAGCTCTTTGTTGGTAACCTGATGGTGATGGTGTGCAAGTGACATGAGGATCTTCTCTCTGCCCTCAATAGTACCTGCTGATGGGGATGGGAGGGGAGAGGGGACAGGGACTAAAGCCTTTTAACACTCTAGAGCTCTTGGCAAATTCCTGGTTTTCTGTGCAACAAGTTAACACGTGGAACCCTTTGCCAGAAGGTGCTGTAGAGGACAAGTATAAATGGATTCAAAAGGGAATTTAATAAATTTTTGGAGGATGAGCCCGTTGGAGCCTATTAAATATAGTGGTCTGGATATAAGTCTTGGCTCACAAAGTTCTTAAGTACTTGGTTGGCAGGAATTAGAGTATATACAGGGAAAGTTAAAGATCTACTTGTCTTTGTTAAAGGTACTACTTCTTAACAGTGACAACAATGCACTGTCAGAAACAACATACAGTATTCCATTCATCTTTGATCTAGCTCTGCTGCACTTCTCGTAATTTTATGATGGTAATAATTCTCTGCAATCAAACCTGTAGAAGTGTAATCTGTAAGTAAGTGAAACAAATATTCCATGACCTTTCTGTAATTCCTTCTTTTCTGCCCAACTGCTGCTTTTAGCAACTGAGACGAATCAGCATTTTGTCTTCAGCAATACACTAAAGATAGTTCATAATGAAGATCAAAACTGCTTTTGAATTCTCGTATGTGTCTTCCAGATATTTTTTCTGAAAGACAAAAAAACAGTGCTGGGACCAGTTCAGAAAAGTGCTTGAACATTTTCCAAACATTGCTCCTATTTCAAGGCATCACACATGGAAGCACTTAGTATCAGGCATAAAATTAACTAGATGGCACTATAATCCTAATTCACATTAGGAGAAATAAGAACATGGCTGAGTTGAAACAGGTGCTTAAATGATTACATGAAAAAAGGCATTTCCTTGAAGTGTGTCTAGCCTAGCAGACACACTAGAAGATAGCCTAGCAGGGTCAGCCTGATGGTGCACCGAGGCAGAATGGTACACTGGTGTTAGATCCAGCTATGCATCCCCATGCCATCACTTGTTTGATCAGGTGCAAGTCTGCCACATAGCCTCCCTCTATCTCAATTTCTGAGCTTCAGGACAGGGAATTAATATACTAATCACTTTTTACAAAAGGTTCTGCAATCCATATGTTGTAATTACCTGAGCAATTATCTGCATGCTGGCTTTCTGAGAAGATATGGGGAATTTTCACCTACATTCCATTTTCACAGGTAACCTGCTTAAATATTTTTTCATGGCATCAAATGCTGGACTTTACTTTCCCTTTCTGTCCTGGTTTCAGCTGGGATAGAGTTTACCACAAAAGTTTTCTTATGTCAGTTTTGAACCTATTCATAGAGTGTTAAATCTGCAGCTAAAATACTAGATAAAACAGCTGGCTTGAAAAGTAGGCATGTGTTTTCTTCAACAATTTTAAGAAACATTTTCTCTCTTTGATCAAACCTTTGATAGAAGTGTTGTAACTGCTTACACTGTATAAAACCATTTTGTAGATTGTAAATAACCATTCCACTTTATAGCTGCTTACTATGTGATTACTTGGTAAATTGCTGAGATTCCTGGAATGTGCTTTGACAGTTTCAGTAGGAGCAAACTCTCATTTTAGTTTCAGTTTTTGCTATAAAAATAGCTGGAATCCTCTTGGAAACTGCAAAACTTGTTATGGTCAGAGTCAGGCCAGTAAAGCAGTTCCTATGTCAGTGATATCCCAGCTGTTTTCAATTCAAAAAAACAAAACCTGAAAAGATGTTGGCTACATGCCACTGCCACAGATGGAGATCCTGAATTCTAAATGCAATTCAGCAACAGTTCTTTGCCCCCTTCATTTAGTTTATTCAGTCATCTCTCCTATGCAGTACACTTGGACCTGGAAACAAATCCATCTGTTTATACTTCCCCCACGGGGACCCCAGCTCTTTCCTTTACCTGCTCAAAGTCTCTGCAAAGCCAAAGAATTATAAAAGAGACTGGAAGCTTGAAATCTGGCATTTTAAACATTGATGTTATTGATAACCTGAAACAAGCTACAGGACAAACTTACTCTTTTTTTGTTGTATAAGTAGTAACTGTTTCCTAATACATCACTGAGCAGCAAATGCTGAATGACTGCATTCCCTAAATCCTTCTCTGTTAAAATAATCAACATAAAATCTGTGTTGTTGCTGAAGAAGGAAAGATGGCACACAGCAGCCTAAAAAGAATTCGGAAAACTGGAGCTTTTACATATTTCCTTCCCTGTGTTTGCCTTGGAAATTTGTGTGCAAAAGAAATGAATAACCAAGCAATAAGTAACAATAAGCTGAATATTTGTAAGGAATTTAATTTAAAAAGACATTTCTTGTTTCATAGCTGCACTACTTTTGGTTACATCTTAGGACACTGCACAAAGAAACATTTCCCTGTAATCCCTAGAGAAAACTGTTCAAAAGCTTTTACAGCACTTCTATTTGCTCTGGTTTCCTGCTGTTATTTGTATAATAATCTATTCATCTGATGATTTTAGACCTGGAAAGTAAAGGTCTTGTGACCAACTTGTGAAATGGATATAAGTGCTTCAGGGCAGTAGGAGTCTGGGAATCCTGAACTTCATTACATTTTTTTAACGCCTCTTTTTCCTTTGAGTGGCAATGTCTCCTGCCACAGAGAACAATGCAAGTATGAAACCAGTTTTTATTAATTACTAGAATGACTCCAAGACAATATGCCTCTTTTTTTTTTAATATTATTTTGATTTCTTTCAAATAGACTATGAAAGGTATTTTGTGGAGGCTGATTAAAAAAAAACAAAAAACCAAAAAGCAACAACAAAAAACCAATAACACAAAAACCAGAAGTATTTTAACATTCCAAGCAGTTTACATTGTCCATGTGAAAACTCAACTTCTGGATCAGAGTTTTCAAACACTCAGTGGATTTTGACTGTTCCGTTTCTGAGTCATGCACAGGAGAGCTCTTCTTTCAGAGCATCAGCAGTCAATGTTTTCTGAAGCTCTTGACCCCCTAAAGTTCCCAGATTGAGCACCAAAAATCACTAGTTGTCTTTAAAAGATCTTGTGATTACTGCTAAATCTGAGATGAAATTCTGTGGTCCTAACCCACTGAAAAAAGCAAAATCTTGAAAATAGAGGAAAGGAACAGTTAACCTCTTTGGGGTCTGATATCCTTCCCATTACAGCAACCCAATGAAATTCCTGTCAGCAATGTTTACCCTATTCTCCAATTCTACAGCTTACCCTGCTGACTCTGGTCAATATGATGTTTTTGATTCTGGTTTGTTTTTTTTTTTACTTCTTGTCTTTTAAAAATGCAGAGCAGCTTGTTTTATATTTAGTTAAATAGCTGTCATCTCTCACCCTCAATAGCTATCTATTTTATTTTTGACTGAAGTGATTCCAGGAGCCAGCTTAATATATACTGACTTGTTTATAAAGCACACTTGAATAAAAAAATGATAACTACTAAATGTCAGGTGGTACCAACAGAAGTAATAAAAATTTAATAATGATAGAGGAATTCCAATATATCCCCATGCTACATCTTAAATTGAGCTGTGAAATATTTCGTCTAAAAGCTGGAGCCCAAACTATGTGTCTGTGGCATGCTACCACCAAAAGGAGGGTGTAGTGCTTCACCAATAAAATATGACTATTGTCTTCTCCGTAGTTTAGTCTTTTGACAAGATGACATGAATGCTTGGCAGTCTTTCATGTCAAGAAAGCCAAGAGAACGATTTTATTTTTTCTTCCTCCTTTATTGAAGAGAAATTCGCTTTAGCTTTCTTCTGGGAAAGGCAAGGTCAATGGAAAGTAGGTTATTTTTAGGGGTCATATACTACCGAGCCAAGACTCCCCGGTGCTAGACAATAATCAGCTACTGGGTCGTATTGTTTTGGTTTTTGTGTTTTGCGGCTGTGTGCACTTGACTATATTTTGCCAGCTGAGACCTTTTTTTTAAAGGGGTGAGTAAGGGATCTCTAAACACAAACTCCCCAATCTAAATAAATAACAAACCCTACCAACCTCCCTAAAATTCCCATAGGCTCACTGAACTCATGATTTACTGCAGCAGCTCTGTAAGTCTTTAAGTACACTCAGAATTGCTGTGAAGTCAGAAAAAGAAGTGTCTGTCATCTCTCTCCATTCTGATCTTGTCTCTTGTTTGCCTGTATTCTGCTATGATTTTGCTTAAGTGGAGTTTAAGAACTTTTTCAACTGTTGTCAGCCACACACACCATGCAGTACTAGCTTGGGATGACCATGATGTGTGGCCAGTGACCTGATATCCTGCGTGTTTATCTCCCTATTCCACCTATTCTGCATATTGTTGCCTGTAATCCTGCATATTCTGCTAATGGGGAAGTCTCACTGAGCAGTGGCTTTTTACACATTTTTCAGGCATAAGGATCTTTTTTACAATTTCTAAAAAAACTCCCCTTTTCTTGGGCTTGAATCCAACCTGAGGACTTGCACAAAACTGCAAACTCCCTTGTCTCTGCTATGGTTTTGTCTCAGCATGGAGGTTGCTGGTGTGCCTAGGTGCAGATATCCAGGTTTTCTCTGCAAAGTGGGATGTCTCAGCTGGAAGGAGGCATGTCCCAGACCAGCTGCATGGTGTCTGGGCTGGAGAGCTGGCTCACTTGCTGTGTGCCACAGCAGAACATGTGTCTGCTTCTACTTAGCCATGCATTTGTGTGCCTACTTTTACCTCAGGTTAGCTCAAGTTGAGAACATAGACATTTTGGCATGGAGGAAGAGGCCACCCATAGCTGGCTCCAGCCCTTCTCTGCTTTCCCAGGCAATCTGTACCTCTGCATTCATGTACCTTTCCCCACAGCATCCCAGGCTTCTTTGCCTTGGGACTGGGGTAAGGAATTGCAGTCTCTTGTTATCAGTCAGTTGGAGATTTGATTTGTGGAGGTAGTTCTGGTTAGCGAGGATTTTAGTACAGTACTGTCATGATCTGTGGGAATGCCACCACAAGCCATGAGCTCATGCCTGACCTGACCTGGCCTGGCCTGCAGCTGTGCTACAATGCATCCTGGAGTTGGTCAGGTCTCCTCCTCACCCACTCCGAGGTTCTCAGCCAGGGCATGTCTCAGCTCCCATCTTATCTGGGTTTCCTCACTGTGGGACTCACAAAATTGTGGGCGCATCTTTCACCCAACCCCGTAGTCCCTGAGTATGGAACATTAGCAATTATACAAGGAGCTTGTAGGTGTCTCTCAGAATTTGGGAAGATCCTTTCCTTCATCCTGCCAAAATAGGACCTTTTGTTATTCTAATCTCTTGGGTACTTTTTACTTTTGAGGTCATTATTGTTAAATTTATGTGATGAGTAAACAGAATCATAAACAGGTCTGAGTTTATCATGCTTTGAAATATTAATGGACCTAAAAATAACTAGGCAGTGGTAAAAATAAAAATAAGATGTTTAACAATTATTATTAATTCACATTACCTAAAATTTGAGAAGAAAAGATTGAGTAAAGAAGAAGAGAGAGACTGGTTCATTCCATAATATGTTCATCTTATAAGTACCTTAGATATATTGGTGGAGGCAATGATTGACCCATATTTTAATACAAACTTTTTGTAAACTTTTCTGTATTGACAGGTGCTATCAGAATCACCCTGCAATTCTCTGCTTTCGCCTTTTCTCTCTGAAGTTTTATTTTGCTTTATTTCTCTCTAGGATGATGGCCTTCCAGAGAATGAACATCAGCTCTCAGTAGCTGGGAAGATAAAGAAGCATTTCAACACAGGCCCTAAGCCGAACAGCACAGCAGCTGGAGTTTCTGTCATAGCAGTAAGCATCTGAATTACACAGCTGAAACACATCTGTGTGCCCATCAGACAGTATGTGTTTAGGACATTCCACCAAAGAAAAACAGAGAGGATTAATCTTTAGATAATTCTAGCATTTAATTAATATAAGCATAGACTGGTATTCTGCACAACTTTTCCCTTGATTCTGCTTGTGAGTCACATTGTTATTGAACAGCCCTAGGATATATAACTGTACACACAGTTCCACATTTTACCAGAGGATCAGTGGACTTAACTCCAATGTAGATTTGACAGTTTGAACTATGGGATCATGACATTTTAATTGGCAGCATACTCATCATATGGATTGAGGCCACGCAGAGGTTTGTAGCAGAAGGGCAACCCCACTTTAAAATGGAAATTGTTCCAAAATTTTGACTGAAAATCTATATGGTGGCCTAAACTTCTCCTCTTTGAAGACATGAAAGGGAGCTATGATGCCTCACTGCTGCCTTCATGTTTCATGAGTCTAGCCACTTCAGATTTAGCTGAGCAGCAGCATTTTATTGTAGTGCCACACAGAAGCTGCTTCCCTTTCAGCAGAAGTGCTTAATTGGGTAACGACTTAATGGAGCTCCTTGCTGCCTTCTCTCATCTTGCAATTCCAGTCGAGCCATTCTAGAACGTGTCGGGAGCTTCTGAAACTAAGCTTGACCAAACTTTTGACGAAGCTTTACTGATGTTTCAATGGCATCCTCAGTGTAGCGTACATACCATAAAACTCTTATTTTTTTCTCACAGATGAACATGTGTATTAGATATACATGGGCACAGAATATATTCAGCATATGATGAGATTACTCATACTAATGCCATTGAATAATAACATGCACATCCTTCACATTTTTGATACATCTGCCTGTGTCTGTAAGCTTTCCTTTATTACTCATAGTAATGTGAACACTCCAAATAGTCACTAAAAATAAGTGACATGTTAAACGTAACCATTCCCATATCAGATTACTCAGTGTTCATTCCCAGCTTCCATAAATTGCAGGTGGTGTGACTGCACATGTACACTTTCTTGTACTGTTTCCACTTTCATGTTTCTCAGCTCAGCCCCTCCAGTGTTGAGTTTAATCAGCATGAAGTAAACTCAGCTCAGCACATGCAATCTGGCTCACAGGTGTGAAGTGTTTGTGCAGCAAAATGGATACTCTCTCAAAGTTACTTGGTATAAGTGCTTAAAATTTCAAGCTGTGCCTCTCATATTTTTTCTTTACTCTTTCCTACCCTGAACGTCCTCAACATGGAAGCAAGTTGTTCCTCATGCTTTTCTTAGATTTTCTCAGCCATCAGCTAACATAGTCAGCATTTATTTATTTTCATTTTTAAGCAATAATACTGCAACAGCTCTCCCACAACTAAAACATCACATACCCATTGCTCATCTGAACTGCAGGTATGTTCTGTATAGACTAGCTGAAATCGTGTTCCTTTTAAATGGACTGCCAGCACGCTTGTCCATGAGAATTACTGCTCAGATGCTCCATGCTAATGACTTCAAAGCTTAAAAGCAAGAAATGATGCCTCTGTCCTCATCCATCCCTCGCCTCCTTTATATTTTTAATTTCCCTGCCCTTCTCTTTTTTTTCTCTGCCCCAATTGCTTTGCCAAGGAATTGATTGCAACAGTTTAAAACTTGAGTAATGAAAAAGGCACTGTAATGAATCTTTCCACTGCAAAATATTATACATCAGGAAAAAAAACTTGTATGTTTAATTATATTCTAAATATTTTTTAGTGTTTGGAAATTTAACAGAATATTTTTAGTGATCATCTCTGTGAGCAAACTTCATACTCCGGCATGATTAATCCTGTAACTTGGCCTATAAAGTAGAAATGTTTAGAATATTTTTACGTAATTCAGAAAGTGGTTTGATTAGCTTGTGTCAATTATTTTCTAAAAAATTGGAAGAGATAGGGAAATATAGACCTCTTTAGTATTTTGGTAATGTTCTAGAATGCTAGATAATTTTTATTTTACAAATAAATTAGTTTTGTTTCCTACAAAATAATTTAATGTGTAAAAGAAAGCCAAAAGCAAAACAGCAATGCATTTAAATGCTGTTTCTGCATCTGAAAATGAATTTAATCTATATTTGATATGCATGTCATCAGGGTTTTATGTTTGAGAATCTTCCTTTAGCTGTGCAATCTCAAATATCACAGAAGTAAATCCTATTAACAAAGACTGCTCTAGATTTAGAACTTTCAAAGTATGTACAGATGTTGTAACATTGTTCCGCAGTAAAGACATGCACTAACTATATTTTCCATAAAAATAATGGGGTTTTGTGCCTGCCTGTATGTTTACTGTAACTTTTTGAGAGAGTGCTTGTGTATATAATATATAGAGATGCCTTCTATACATTATATAACACATCTGTGTCTTTGTTTGTGAAAATGTGTTAGTATGTGCATATATTTCTGTAGCTTACTTAATAGTATGAAAGATAAATATTAGCATTACTTTGAATCTTATAATTCTGTTTATGTACAGAGATAGCTAATATGTGGTATTTAGTTCTTAATTTGTCCTCACATTGCTATGATATGGTATTATATGCCTGTTTTCTCCGATGGTAAGATATAACACACCTCAAAGATCTCAAGGAGTATTTATCATATGCACCAATTAAAACTATAATATGAAAATTAAATTCCTAAAGATGTGTTCGTGGTCAGCTTGATTGGGAGGAAGTTTGAAGCCACATGTGTTTTACATACACCGACTGTGGCTACTGCTTCCTTCAGAAATGTTCAAATTCCATTGACTCCTTTGGTTCAGACTTATATCTGCCTTATTGATGCTGTAATCCTCAGTAAAAGTTGTCTCTGACATTTCAAGGCAGAGACATCCTACTTCTCATGCATGTGTCCAGACTTCAAGTTTGTCCACATTTGGAAGGATTTGTCGGTTTGGACAAACTACCATAATGAACATGTTGAGCATGCCTAGCAAAGTAGTTGCTTTGCTGATGTAGCAGTATGATTTCTGAAACAAAATTAACTCTACAGGCAAAGAGAGTTTTCTGTTGATACAATAATACATCATTAGAAGTTCTGTCAGCATAACTCTGTCAGTTGGGAAAAAATTCCCTTGAACAAACATAGCTTTGCCAGCAAAATTTTAATTGGAGAAATAGTTTTTAAAACAGCAAGAGAATTAGCAAATCCCTAAAAAACACTGTTTGCTGATGAGAGAATATGTAGGAGAAATATCACTTTACTTGCTCTGTTCTTAAATTCTTGTCACAGGCATTTACTACCAGTCTCTGTGGGAGACAGAGGCTGGGCTAGTGCCCCTCAGTCTGTGTCAGAATGGCCACATTACTGTTAAGCATATGCCAAAATATTTGCAGGATCATGTTTCTCATACAGCTTTTCAATAGGAGCAGTATTTTGTAGTTCTGTGACAGTGTTTATAAAACATACTGCAGATAAAAATGTAAAACCGGACTTCCACTAACTAGTCTTTTTGAAATTTGAGGGTAGATTTTTTTTCCCTTCAATTCTCCAAGGATGGCAACCCCATTTTTTTTTTACTGTGGCCATGAAACAATACCCTATGGTTGTATCCTCTGGGTTTAGTGACAGTGCCTAGAGTAACTAGGAGCCCAAATCACTTTTAAAGAATGATTCTGCAACACAGAGGTGTGCTGTAATTCCTTGTATGAACCAAGCATCGTTTAATATGTGTCCTTGTCTGAAGTGTTAAAGCTCTGCCTGTATGTCATCACTTTTGTGCTTGTACTTTTGCCAGTGTTAAGACAGAGGAAAAGACTAATGTTATTCTGCTGTTAAGGTTGGATGAGGTCTCTCTGTCTTGGTAATGCATCTCTGTCTGGAGAAGTAGAGAAATTGAGTAGAACAGCTAAGGAGAAAAGCTGCTCAGAAAGTTGGTGCAGCTCTCTGTTGCTTACAGGGTCCTGGGTTCAGGGCCCTGGCAATGGGAAGGCAGTGGGTGGGTCATTGCCCTGCATTCTACCAATTTTTAAAAAAAATTACAAATGCCAAGCGGTATTTTTAGCCATAGGATTTCTTGGGTGGTGTGGAAGAGAAGCCAAATTCAGCTTGTAAGTTTTGCTTGCCTTAAAGATGAACCTGTGTCTCGACTATCCCTTCCCATCTATTATCTGTGTTTTCCTGGGATCATTGTCCACAGCCGGGTTTCTCATGGCAGAATTTCCACACTGCCAAAATTTTTCAAACTCGTGTTAGGAAGTGACTCTCGCCATTTTCTCTGTATTATTTTTTTAGCTATTCAATTTTAGGGCAATATTTTTAATCCGCTTTTTAGAAAAACATCCCTTTTGTGTGTTTTATGTGCAGCATACAAGGAAGCCAGTAGATGGCAATAGCAGACCAGTGTAATTAAGCAAACACAAATTTAACTCTAGGTACAAGGTCCCCATGGTTTTAAACAGGAAGCGTCCTTTAAATAATTCTAAATAAGATGAAAGTGGCATTGTTTTAACAAAATGGAATGAATTATTAAATTATTGAAGGGGAGTCATCAAGAAAAATTCAAATTTGCGGTTAATTCCTAACTCCCCTTGAAGTGTGTTGAACTGCTTTTCTGATTTAGAATTAGAAACTGTCATCAGTATTGGAAATATATACCATGCTCTTATTGAAACACAAAATGGCCTTTTCTCTTCCTAGGGCAAAATCTGAAAATCGTTGCAACTAACAGTTTTAAAGCAGACAGAGTGTCTCTGTAGATATTTTCCCATAAAATTTTATTTAATTCAGCTAAATGACGTCTCCACCGTCTGTTAGAGCAGCACCGAAGGGTTAGGGAAAAGAACACATTTTCTTTGTTCCTATGCACGTGATTTTGCTAATGATAGACTAAACTTGAAAAATCTGTATTCCTTAAGTAATATCACTGGCATACTTTCCTGGACACAATGTTAAGTTCATTTCCATTTTGACTTTAATTGGTGCAATTTTAAACCAAATAGTTTTGTAGTATTATCTTTTTGAGCATGAGGTGTAAGCTGAAATGATAAACAATGTTATTCATGGCTCTGAGTAGTCCTACTTTCCAAGGTTAACGCATTTTTAGAAATGAATTACCATGATTGATGGGGTATCAAAATGTGATTCTTTTTGTCTTTACACATTCCATGATTTTGAAGCAGTCTAATTTAAGCCTTGTGTAGTGTGTCTAGCCTGCTCCTTGTGATGGTTGCACTGCATTTAATTTTTTTTTTTGATTAATAAACTTCTCAGTTTATTGCAAAAGATAATATCCTATTACTGGTATGTGCAACTTAAAAGGGCAATACTGTCTTTGGAGGTAAAAAGATATTTGTCAGACTTTTAAATGAATGCATTATGCATTAAGTAATCTATTTCACAAATTCCATTTTAGTTTGAATAAATTGGCTTCTAATTTAGCAAGACCAAATCTAGAGTTAGTATCTTTTTCTTTTATTTCTTTACCTTTTTTTTTTTTTCTTCTGCGGTAGGTAGCTTTAGGATGTTAGATAAGAGCCTTCTGAAAGTGAAAACAGTAAATATGCACTAAATAAGGAACAGCTTGCTCTGGAGTCTGAATTCTCTAGCCTAATGTTGATCCACTGAGTTGCCCCGTTTCTCTCTGCTCAGCTGGACCACGGGTTTACCATCAAGAGATCAGGGTCTTTGGACTACTACCAACAACCAGGAATGTATTGGATAAGGTATGAGATGGTGCAGCGCCAACAGTCAGTGTTTCCATGGCAACGTGCTGGCAGTCTCCATTAACCAGTTCCTTCAGTGGATAAACATGCTTTTTGATTTGTTATCGGGTCCATATGCTGCTTTATCAGTTTCGTTTTAATCTTGATTGAGATGCCACACCCCTTCATTCCCTTTCTTCACCCATCCCTCACACCCACATTGCCAGCTTTCTCTTCATCGCACATGCTCAATATCAATCTCCCCTATAGTTAAAAGGACAGTGTATATAGAAAATCTACCAGATATGCTGAAGTACTCACCCTCCCCCTCTCTATTGCTTGTTAAGGCATCTGCTTCCCCTGTGCTCCTGTTTCAAAACACACGGAGTAGCAACAGGCTCTCAGCATATATTTTCCTCTTTTTTCCATGCAAGATATGGAGCTATATACTGTCATTTTAAACCGATTAAACACAATCCTTACCTTAGATTGAACAATGCATTTACATAACACGGGCTGTAGAAACTCTCCCAAGTTCACTGAAATACAATGCATTGTATGTGCTGGTAAGCTTGTGTTTCTAACAATGCATTCCTTCTCTTTTCTTTTTAAAACCCTTCTGATACCTATTTATTTTGATTTGATTTTGTTTTAAATATTGCATGAGTCTTTTGAATATATTTTTCTTCATTGTGTAACTGTGTCAGGGTTGTTGTTAACTGGCTTAACCTGTATGATAAAATGGGTCTCTGGGAGGGAGAGGCTTATTCTGCAGCAGGGGCAAGAAGGGATCCAGGTCTGATAGCCCACGAGAGGCCCACACACCTCCTCAATAAATCCAGAGTCTTGGAATTTCCATCAAGTGGTTACTTGCTGTCTTTTTTCTTTCTTATTACTCACAAGACCTACATTTTGAAAGCTGGAGAAATTTTTATAAGTTTCTTGTGAACCCTGCATTTTCTAACACTGCCTTTAAAAGCTTGTCTGTGAGAGATTTGTAAAAACTCAGCAAATTAACCACGTTAGCAAAACAGCAGAGATGGTCACTGCAAATGTTTCCAGTAAAGTATAACTCCCACTCTGGGTCACATCACCAAGTGCATGGATTGGGCTACAGCACGCTTTCCATAAAACCTAACGATTCCCTGCGCGCACACTAAGGGCTACATAGTTTAAATATGGATGTTCTGGGGAAAGAAAAGAAAACAAACCCAAACCCAAAACTAAGCCTATTTCTCAGGCAAAAAGTAAAAAAATAGTTCCAATCCATCAGCTGAACGCTGGCTAGCAAAAATTGAGAAAGACTTTCACTCCAGGTGCTGGAGTGTGCAGCAGTACCTGTAATTCATCTAATTCCAGCCTACTGCACTTGTGGTAGTGGCTATAAACCTACCATGACCTGTGAGGGCACAGCAAAACCTGCTTGATCTGTCTTGTCACTTGGCATCATGCTTCACGGGTTGCAGCCCTGATGACCGCCCAGCATCTGTGCCCCTTGGTTTGAAGAAGAGGTGAATGGGGCCTGAGTGCCCAGTTTTAGCTCTGTGTGCTTCATAGCATTAGAGGAATTTTTCTTTTCTGCTTGAGAAGGAAAGATGGCATTTGTATCAAGCAGAACTTTGACAAAGAGTTGCAAATTCGTTTTCTCCTCTGTAAAATGGGGGGAAGCTCGCCTGAGCTCTATTTATCTTCCTATTTGCTATACACAATGTTTGGATCTTTTAAAACTCCACCTTCAGGGGGTGCAGACCACCAGAAAAGGAGGCTGTGCAAAAAGCGAGCATCTCCTCAGATTGGCCTTGGCTCAGTTTAACTGCTTAGCCCAGGTTTTGAAAAAAACCATATGCATTTTGAGGATGTAGGGGGGAAGGGTCTAATTCTGCAACTTGGTAAATAAATAAAGCTATAAAAAAAAAAAAAAAGGCCATTTGACTAAAGCATTGTAATGGCCATCAGCATACAAAATGACACATCCCTGAATAATGGGCTGGAGCAGATGGGCGATAATCTCTCTTATTCATACATAAACTGCTCTGTTTTCCAGCTGGGGGCAGTAACAACAATGTTTATAATTAAGGCTTTCTAAACTGAGCACCTAGTGTGGAAAGGCAAACTGGGAGAGCAGGGCTTATAGGGGTAGATGTTTAATTAGGAAATCCGCTAGGAGAGGATACCTCTGACCAAGCAAGTGCTTTGATGACCAACACTTTAGTCTAAATAAAACCGTTTTGGTGTAGAAAGTGTTTACTTTTTAGTAGCGCAGATGCAAAGCATATGAAAAGGTTCATCAATTCCCATCTATAAAACACATAATTCAGCACAGGCCTATGAAAATTAACCTGAATTCACAAGTAGAGCAAAAAAATGAAAGCAGGTCCCAAGGAAAATGTAATGCTCCCTTTGTTAGCGTTAAACTACACGTTTCTTCTGCACTCCTCTTTGTTTTTATCCCTAGTTTCTGGCAGTTTTCTAAAATACTTTTTAAATGGCACTATTTCCTCCTTCAATAAGCAGAAAACCTTCCTCTGCCTAGAAGACTTTCCTTTTCAAATTCCTTCAAAATACTATTTTTCTGATCACTCATTCTGCATACTTTTGTTCCGTTTAAGTAGGATAATATGTACGGAAGTGACATGATTTTTTTGAGGTACCAAAATAGAGCAAACCTTATGTACAGTAGTAGTTATTGTAGCAGGTATGAGCTATAGTGCCCGGAAAATTTTACATGGTTCCTTGAATATGAGGAACAGGAAAAAATACAGGAGATAAACCAGTAAAATCATTTGGACTCCAGAGTAATACACCTTTTAAAAGCAACCCACCTAATGATGTTGGGACATCAGCCCTGCAATTAGAGGTGCAGAAAAGGCCAAAGCAGCATCAGTAGGGGACAAGACCTGGAGGTCCCAGTTAAAACCCTGAAGTTTGAGCTGATTCAGAATATCGAGGGAATACCAGAATAATAGTATCTAACATAAAATATTAGTAGAAAATATTAGTATATGTAGCATTATATATAACATCAGAATAAAATGTTAGGGTATGTTATTTTCTATATATCCCCAGACATTGTAGAAAAGCTAAATGGGCAAAATAAAACCCAGGAAACGTATGGGAAAGTCATTAATGATCTATCCGTGTAATGATAATAAAATAGAGATGAATTGCATTGGATGCTTAACAAAATCATCAATCTGGGCAATATTGAATTCATAAAATACTGGATTTTTAAAATACAGTTCTCACTTTCACAGTTAAAAATGTATCTGAATAGCTCATTTTCAAACCCAGAGTTCCATCCTCTATCTTTAGTTCCTAATTCACATTACATTGCATCTGTCAAGTTACTTACACCTGTCCCAGGTGGATACAATACACTTTCAAGTCAAAAGTTACAGCCAGATGTCTCGATGATGGGACAAGGAAGTTGGGAATTAGGCTTGCTATCTGTAAAGTGCCATTTTTAGTACCATAAAACCCTCTGTAAACTGAATATTGGTAAATACAAGCAAATATCTAAAATCATTTAAAATCTCTTCTCCTGCTCTTTGACTAAAAAAACCACAACTGATTTACAAACTATAAACAAAATCCACTCATGCAAACAACTTGGCACTGAGTCTCTTTCACGTGTAATTGAAACCAGCTGAGGAATTGTGTCTCTAAAAATGGGGGATGTCAAAGAGTAAACACAAACTTAAATATAGCAATATGGATTCAGCAGTTATGTCCATAGAATACTTGTCTTTGTGTTCACTCACCAATACAGTACTAATCATATATCAAATTGATTTGGTTTTCTTTCTTTTTTACTTTCATTTTAGCTAAATATCATGTCAGAAGTTACATGGTGTGCTAAAGCACTGGCCTTTTGTATTTGGAGGTCTAGGTTCAAATCCACTCGATTAATTTATCCCCTCGATGTGGTCATTTGCACGTCTCCAAATCACCGTGTAACTTGACTTAGCTATACCTTGTGCCTGAGGGACTAAAAATAACATGAGTGTCTCACTTCTGGACTGAGGTGCATTGCTAAGTTTGAAGAACTCTCAAAAAAGTGTCTTGATTCATGAATCAATCACACACAAATATATATATATATATATTATTTATATATATATATATATAGCCTGAGAAACCCATGGAAAAGAAATTAAAAAAAGATGAGACTGAAGGGCTGCCTGGCTTGTGCCATGAGCAATGTTTAATGATCATTTTTACAGCAAGGAAACCTGACATTACATATCTCAATGTATAGAGGTCACTAGTCAGAAGTTTAAGGAAATAGGATAAACTTATCTAGGTGTGAACATTTAAATTTGTGCATACGCATACATGTATATAAAAGAACGTACTGGAAGAAAAATACTAGTGTTTCATTACATATGTTCATGTAATTCTAGCACTAAACAAAGCATCACGAAAATTGCTAACAAATTTGAAATATGCTCCTGCAGAATAAAAGCAAGCAAAGGGAAGGGTTTCTTAGATTAATACATGAACAGCTGCATCCCCAGTTTAGTCTCCTGCCTGGTATGAATAATGGATGGACTAAGAGGCAAAATGCACAATAATGTTCTTTTATTAATGAAACTAATATATATCTATATTTGGTGGCCAGCAGTAAATTAAGACAAGTGAAAAGAATAACAGTCACTGCTCACTTTCAAAAAATGCAGTTACTCTAATTCAGTAATTACTGACCTGACAGAAAATATCAGCCCACAACTGAAATAAGGCTCTTCCTGCTGCAAATCCAACACATATATCAAAGCAGCTGTAGTTTTTTAATATCTGTTCATAAGCACGCAGTTCAGTGTTTTCCAAAATAAAAAAATGAATTTACATGGATCAGGATTTCTGTAACATCGAGTAATAGAAATCAGGACGAAGACACTCCTTAAAGAAAAATCCTGGAAAAATGCTAGTTGCACCTTAGTATTAGGTGATAGAAACTACTATTTTAAATTCATACTCTGTTACTTCAAATGAAATGTATTTCCAAAAATGGCTTGTTAACCATTTGGTAGTGGGTGTCAGGATTACTAAATGTTGATGCAAAATACATTAGTGCTTGATGAAATACTTCAGACCCAGCAGCACCAAACTATTAGAGGCAATCCACTTGTCTGCTGCTAAGAAGCTCTACCTTTCCTCATATAGATTGCAGAACAGTTTCATATCTTGAATAAGAATGCTATCCTTACATTTTAGTTGCCATTACAATCATACAGTGCTCAAAGTTCTCACTCTGTAACCCCAAGCCAGGAAAAAATAAAACGTCAAAATGTGACAATGAAAATGTGGGTTTTGCAGACCTGTGAAGCATAAGTGCACTTCAGATCCTCTTATTATTTATTGAAAGAGCTTGAAGTAGAAATGCCCTGGAAATCCATAGTGGACTGGTTCATGCACCAGCAAACCACCAGATGAACAGGAGGTGAAAGAATACATCTGTTAAACCAAGGCAATGTGTATAAGAGGCCTTTGTTACAAAAACATCAATGATAATGAAAAAGCTGATTTTTGGAATATACCCACATGCACAAGAGAGTACAGTAGATGAAAATTGCACTTACAAAGCACTTACAGTCATTGAGGTCGATTCCCGTAAGGACCATTCACTTAAGAGAGTTGGACTTGTGAGTCCCTTCCAACTCAGAATATTCTGTGAAATCTATTAAATCTGGGAAATGCTCAAATTTATCTCTCTTACCATCTTCTCTGCATTCCAAAGGCTTGATCTATTGTATTTTGCAATTCTTTGGAAGTAAAAAATAACTGTAACATCATTAAATGAAAAATTTCATTTGTGCAGAATGCAGAGAGGCAATACCATCCAGTGGTTATAGACACGAGAAGTGTCAAACTTCATTTTAACATTGGGCAAAATAAGCCTGTTCCTGCAAGTTCTCTAGGGCCCAAGCACTCTGTCTGTGGCCAGAAGTGCCCCATTTGGTAGTTCTGACATGTTAAACATTAAACATTAGAGTATGACTTGTGTGGTTTTGCTTTCACTAGATAAATACTGACTTTGCCTCTCTGTGACTTTATACATTTTTATTCGATAAGCTGTTTGGGTGAGAAAGGCTCTGCATGTCTCTCAGCCCAGGAGAGTAACCACAATAATGCCCCTGGGTCTGCAAGCATATCTTTACAAAGACCAATTAGATCAAATCCAGGGAAAACTTCAGATAAAAATGAAAAGAAAAACACAGTCAAAAAATATCTCAGGAAGTTTCTGAAGGGTTAGGAAGCCAGAAATATTTGACCCTACAAACTACAGCAGCATAAGGTGGTAGATTAGGTGAGACCATCAGGGTTATTTTGCTTAACATTTTTTATTATTAAGCAAGGGAGTGCCTTTATGTGTATTTAAATGAATAGATTTAAAGCAAAGTCTCTAAAGCTTTCCCAACAATAGTAGAAAGCTAATATCTTGGGGTTTATTTTTAAAGACATCTTTAAAAAGATGTCCTGTTGTTTAGTCATCTTTGTCCTTTATAAAAAGCAATATCCTAGGCTAAATTTCAAAAAAAAATTCTTATACATTTTCTTCTGTGTAACTTACCTAATTTTAAATACCTTCAGATTTTACATATATGTTTGCCATTTTCATATAGCAGATTTTAAAAATAAAATTGGAATTTAATACAAGTATTTTTATTTATTCAACCAGAAATGTTTACATTTCTCAGGGGAGAGTATCTATTACCACAGGGTGATGTGATGTGGCTTAAACTTTAAGTAAGTGCTTATTTCCTATAAGCATTAAAAAAAAATATTTTAAATGGAAATCTGTATTTCATAGAGTGGTAATATATGCCGTTCTTTTCAATTTTCACACAGAATTGCATACTGTATGCAGTATATTCACTGTGTGTAAATGATCTAGGTATTCTTCTGTTTCACATTAAAAATAATCAAAAGCTGAATTGGTTCAAGGCTAAGAAATGTAGAAGGCATTGAAAATACTAATTAGAGCTCTTACCTAAAAGATAAGCAGTAAACAAAGAAATTTTTGGCGGATGAAAAGTGTTGGATTTTGTAGCAATTATTATTTAAAATATGGAGATGAACTTAACAAAGTTTATTATTTTACTGTTTTAAAGTAGTGCTATAAAGGTTCTAGACACAAAAATAGTAGTTCATCAATTTAACCTAACTAAATCCATTTGCTATAGTAGTTCTGTACTCCTGCACATCCTTCTGTCTCTGTTACATCATTTTTGAATGCTGGTTGCATTATTTGAAAGTGTGGATTGCTATAATGCTATTCTGCACCATTATGATGGATTTAGTTTTCATTTTATTCTCAAAAATATGTTGACTATAAATACATCTCTGCTCTCCTATGGGGCTCACATTGTAACTTGGTAAATTTTCTAGAGAAATCGATCATGCATGCCTCAAGAGAACACAATAAATCCTTTGAAGTAGAATAACCTTTTGGCTGCAATCTTTTAAATAGGTTTTTATTATAGGGACAAATTTTACAAGCCTTATCAGTGAAACCTATTCAGTTCTCGAAGTTATCTTTGCCTCCAGTGCCATGATTTGATACTTGGTTGCATTTTGTATGTCATCTTACTAGACACCTGCCTTTTCCCATTTTGCTTTTTCCAAAACAGTCACAGGTCATGATTTAAGAAGGTAGCCCTGCTTCAGAAGGCAGCTAACCATGTGTCAAAGTGCTCTTGCTGAATCAAGTCCATCCTGTTGAACTTAAAATTTTACAGTGATTTCAGGGACTACAGTCTAATATCCCATAATCAAAAAACCAGCAAAACTCAGTCCCATGCTTGAAATTGTTAGTTAGACTAAGGCTGCCCTTACTTGGGTTGCAGATTCACCTTGTAAATTGTGCCAGAAAAGCGGAAGAAAGAATGTGGCTAGAAGTTATAGCCATCTTATTAAGACTTGGGTTCTTAATAGTGGCAGAATCATCAAAAAGTAGAGCCATCAAGTAAACATCCTTTTTTCCTATTCCTAGATACCTTATATAGACATAGATAAAATTAGCAGAATATTTAATTCGGTAGACCTTGGTTAACAGGAAGAGACAGCATGGTCAGGCTAAACGGGTCTTTCCGTCACAGCTTTTCAGCGTTCTCCCTAAGAACATCCATTGAGCAGCATGATGTGTCAGGGAGCTGGGCTAGCTCCCTTTGGTGTTTGTTTTTCTCTCTTGTCTGACAACTTCATCACAATCCATCTTTGTTAGATGATTGCACTGACTTGAGCACGGATGAGTGTGTATCGGCCTTCATTAGGTCAAATCAAAGACAAACTTACATCTCTGCCCTGCCTGTAGAAACAGATTTATACTTTGACAAGGGTGGGGGAAGGTCAGTTGATATTTGGCTTGAAATTCGAATCTGTTAAAGGATGAAATTAATAGCATCCAGAAGTAGAACATATGGCATTCATATATATGGCACTGTATCTGCTTGATGATGTCACACTACCTCTTAAGGTTTGGGACATGCACTTTTTAAAGCATTTAGCTGTGTTGTGGGCTCAACCTTTCAGACCTGACTGAGACAGAAGAGGTTTAATTTGGTCTGAACATTTATTATCCCTGGTATTTGCAGGCCACATAAAACCTCATGGTTTTCATTACCTTTGCGTTTCACACACAGCCTAATTTCATTTATTCTTATTTTATGCCCCTGCCAGACCACCGCTCTTGATAAGGAGAGGCAGGTTTTCCGACGAAGACGCAACCAGGATGTGAGGGGACGTTATAAGGCACAACAAGCTCCACCTGAACTCAACTCCGAATCGGAAGATTATTCACCAAGTTCATCCGAGACTGTTCGCTCACCTAACTCACCCTTTTAATAAAACACTTTTACTCAAAAGTCTTGGCTTTAACCCTTTGAGACCCTGAAACTTCTTCAGACCTGTGTGGAATGATTACAACTGATCTATCCAGCAGTATACGCTGGGATGGTGGAATGCAAAAGGGTGCTCACAGAATCTTTGTAAGAATAATTTCCTAATTGATTGAAATACTTGTTCTCTGTTTAGATTGCAACTTGCTGCTAATATGATCCTCAAAGGGTTAAGGCTATTTTGCTTTTTTATTTAAAGATAGAAGCAGTGAATGTTTTCATCAGTGGAGCTAGGAACTGCAGTATGTAATTTTAGCACATGTTAACCCTCTGAGTAAACGATCAACTTAAATCTTGACAACCCACATTAGGGTTTTATTCTGGCTTTTTTGCTTTTATACGCACATATCTTTTATAGTATCCTGAAGTTCCTTGCCTGTTTCTGGCCAAAAATATATCAAATGTACTATTGCTTAGGAGTTACAGATATAGGCTTAAAAATGAAAATAAAATTAAACAAATGGTATCTTCTACAGCAGCTCATTGTACTTCCACAGTGACTGTTATTGGAAGACATTATGCGGGCTAAATGGGAAATTCAGTTTAGGGCATCCTCATGGTTTACAGAAGATGACATGATGCTGGCCACAAAAGGTTGCTTCCATATAGTTTTCTCCTAATGACAATGTTGAGTCTTGGAAAGTGGCTTGAGGACACGTTCTGTCATGTAACAGTATGTAATGATCTAGTTGAGAAGTTCCTGTTTCCTTTGAGCCACATTCCGAAATGTACAGGCATCCTCTCAGCACAACCTCGTTATTCTAGCAGTCATTTTAAAGGATTAACATTGATGAATGGAAGAACTACCCTTAAAATAGCTAGAGTACTTCTAAATCAGGGAAAAGACAAGTAATTTAATATATGTGTAAACCCTAAACTGAATTAGCAGAAGTTTTGTGTTAGAATGGAGAAACTAAAAATGATTCACCAGTTCTATTTGTAATATTTAATAAAATGGGTATTTACACAGAGTGTATATATATTTCTAGTTTGTTAAAACCTCAACACAGCATTATAGCTTTTTATTTGACCATTATCCTAAAGGTGGCTTCTATAAAAATAGCACACTGTGTAGACTTTTGCTTCAGATGTGATAATTTGAAGAAAAAAATTACCTGGCTCAGAATTTCACTTGAATGAAAAAGGCAACTTTCAAAATCATGTTCTAAAATAAAAAATAGCATTGTGAAATTTATAGTTTCTCTTATTACTCATATAAAATAGAATTTTTCTCCTCTAAAGTTAGTTTTCTCACAGTGTTTTTTAAAAGTCACATAAATGTGGTTTCCTCTCTCTTTCTTTCTTCCTTTCATATCATACAGCTCAAAGTATCAATATGCTCCCTAAAATGATATGCAGTTTTTCTGATCTTTCTGGGAAACATAAATAAATTTTGCAGAAACAAGGCTAGTTGCCCACAGTATTGTTCCCATTGTGAGTTGTGTTTGCTCATGGAACTGTCCATATGGCAGCAAATGTGCACCTGCAAGTTGTTGGAGCTAGTGTAAAGCTCTTTTGCACTTCTAGTTGGAACTATCTAGTTGGAAGTTGAACTGTATTTCAAGAAACACTGGAATTCTGTTTTTCCATCCTACAAAGTGCATCTTTCATTACCTCAGACATGAAAATTTATATATTAAAAACTTGGAATATTTTAAACACAGGAATTTCGTCTTGTGAACCTTCACACAAGTGGTACAAGTAGCTAATATATTTTTTTTAATTCACCCAATATTAAAAAGCTAGAAGTGAGATGCTTAGTTGAAACTAGTTCTCCAGGCTTCCTTGGCAATATAGAGAGATGAACATTCCAGGTTTGATTCATTTCACCTGTCATGGGCATGAATTTTAAGCAGGACTCACATTTTAATTAACCGATTTGTCTCACTACATTGACTGTAGAAGGAACTGCTAGTGGAAGCTTACATCAGACACCAAATTTCAGGTTATGAGTTTAGTGGCAAGTCATCTAAGTCATCAGGAAACTCTGATCTCTGAATGCATGTCCATGGGCAGAAGGCCTGTGCATGGCTTCATTACTCTGTCTGGAACCTGAATAACAGCATCTTAACCCAAGTGAAGCAAATAAGCACCTTGTTGGAGAATTCCACTGGGGCAGAAGGTTAAGGGACCAAGGAACTGCCATACAAATGCTCTAAGATTTTAGTTTTTGGGAAAGGGCTATGTCTGTTTGAGATCCTTGACTATGACCATCCAACCCTAGTCGCATTGAAGAGAGAAGATGCTGAGTAGATGGGGCACAACCACTGCCATTGTAATGTTAATGGTTGTAATTAGGTAACATTTGGATAGGAGAGGGATTATTTTTCCATAGGATCAAACCCTCAGCCAAGGTAAAGCCTTCCTTGACACTTACCTACACTAATTTACAGTAGGTCAGGATCTGGCATACATTTTTCCAGTGCTGGCCTTCCCACATTATATAACAGCCTTCCCTTTAGAAGAGATACAATTCAGCCATGTAATGCAAGACATACATGTGGTAATAAAAAAGCATCCATTAATACCACATGCTCCTTGTCTATTGCAAAAATTTGGCAGCCTTAAAGCAAAGGATGATGTTCATTCTTCTTAATTAGAGAGGGAAGTCAGGAGAAAAAAAAATATAAAAATATGCTTCACTTTATGCATGAGAAATATTATTCAAAAGGCCATCTAGGATATTCCTATGAACTTTGCTTTGCTTTGGAATACAGGATTATCATTAAAATGTTTGGTTCCTTCATCTTGCACCATCTTGTACTACTTAAAATGTATATAAAAAAAATCCTAGATCTTGAAAATCCGACTCATACCCAACATCTTATATGTTTCTGATCTTTCGTTCATGTTTTATGAACATAACTATAAAAATATTTTTTAGTTATTTTTAGGTCTGTGAGAGACTGGGTTTCAAAATATTGATAGCTTATTTTAGGCTTCAAGAAAAGGTATCTGAATATTTGAACTGTTTTAAAAGACTTTCAATGATAGGTTTAAATATATCCATATACCCATATATATTTTTTTTAATATAACCATATATATGTATATGTATGTATGGTTTCATGGAAGTAATAATGACTTAAGCTTGTTTGGCAATGACTGCCCTTTCTTTCAATCTAACCTCTGAATTCCTGGGGGTAAGTGAAGACAGAATATATGACCCTAAAAAATATTTGCAACACCAATGAAAAAAAGAAATCAAACATAATAGGCTATTTCTAATGTGATAATCTGGGAGAGCACATAGCACACTGTGGTCTTTTTACTGTAATATGTACCAGTCCTTCTGACTTCTTTCTTCATTTCCCTTTTGAATTTTTAAGCATTGTATTGCTGCTAAATGTAGCAACAATTGCTTTTTTTCGTGCTTGTTATATATACAAGACCAACTTCCTCCCACTAAGCCTGGGTAGTTAGCAGAGACGGATGGCACTTGTGGTAGGCACCATCTATCACCGAGGAGATGGAGAGGAACACCTCCAAAGGGTGATTCAGGTCATCTAATGTTTCATCTCTGGAGATGCCTGACAGTTTGATCTTAGTATTAACAGGAAAGTAGACTAGGGTCACTTCCAGATTAATTCCTCTCAATTAAATATAAGCAGGGATAACATGGACTCCAACCTAAGTGCAATATTCTAGTGAGTTTACATGCAGTGAGCAAACTTTGATGTGAAAATATAGTACTGATAGCACAGGATTAGTTGAATAGTGGTGAACTGGGAGTTGTTTTATCTAATTTCATCCATCTAGGAGTTTAGCATCTAATCTAGGGCAATAATCTAAATTTCCCTTATAGGTGCTAGAGACTGCTTCTCTAACGGATAATTAAAATTCTAGGATGGATTAATCACTCACCAGATGATGGGCCTAGCCTAAATGTATTTAGAACATGATTTATTAAGCCATGACATATAAATTAGTATTTCTGTAAGTTACAATTTTCATAGCATTATTATACAAAAAATCCAGAATATTATGGTTCTACTCAGAGGGTTAACAGAAAAGCACTAGGCATGCTGATTACATTGGTGTATCCAAACTGCTTTGCTTTTTTAGCCAGTGTTTGCTGATTTTTTCAGAAAATTCTTGAAAAATTTCAAGTTTGAAATTATTTAAGTGTTGTTGTTTAAGGAATTTCTATAACCAAATTAATCTTATTTTTAGCTCAACTTATCACAGGAATAATATGTATCATTGATGCAGTGTAAGTCTGTAGTTATCAATTTTATTAATTCCACAAGTGATTCCAGAAATCTCTCTTTTTTTAAGTACTTACTATAGAGCTTACTATGGTGGCATAGGTGACTGAGACTGTCTTTCTTATTGGTAAACAAACAATATTGTAATTTCAAGAAAGTCCTAGGAATCAGCTTTTCAGTTAGGTAGTGTACTAGTTAGGGGAAAGCTATCTCATTACATGCATTGTGTAAATCATCTTTGTAGATGAAGATTGTTCATATTAATGAACACATTCTTTTTCCTTGACATTGTAGCAGAAACTGTTTACTTGTTTAAGAACAACCAATACATTAATTTGCTTCAGACTGTTAGAGGGGAAAGTGAGATTCCAGTCATTGACAATGTTACTGCGTTACAGTAGCCCTCATCTAATTTAAATGTGGTGCATACTACAATAAGGAAAGCCAAACCTGTGAATAAACTCCTGAAAAAGCCTGGTGGGTCTTTATTCAGTTGGGTGCTCACATACAGTAGCATATGACAGAAGGAAGGCTTTCAAGAATTGTTGAAATGAAAGCGATATATCCACAAATAAGAGCTAAATTGCAATCCTTTCCCTATGGGGCATATATGCTTGAAAAGAAAAAAAATAAAGAAAAGAAGAGAAAAATTGGCTCTGAGGTTTGCAGTGCTACTATATTACCACAGGGCAAGTACATTAAATCATTGTTATTTACTAGCCTGGGGTATGTGTTAGAAAATGGCATCTTTTTTATTTAGTTTAAATTGTGGGCAGGAAGAGCTTTCCTAATATTATTACAGTGCTTGCTAGTGCTGCCATGGTTAAGGCTGTGTTAGTATTTCCATTATAAACTCTTAGTCTCAAAGGTTTTTAATTTGATTGTAAAAATTTGCTTCAGGCAGAAACTTGGCATACAATTTTTCAGCTCAGAGTGATTCTTTTCCTAAAATATGAGAGAAATCAACTTGACCGCTTCAACATTTATTTTCTGATTGTACACAAACATTCACAGACACAAACGTGGTTTTTATGCCGCTCATTTCAGCTGAGTTACATTTTCAAGCACATCTTGCAGGTTTTAACTACAAAGGTGACAGCTCAGAACTTTTGGGCATTTTGAAAACGAGGGAGAAAACTCAGTGATCAAGAGCAAAAATGTTCCACATGTGGGAGAGTTTTATTTTGACGTGACAAGCATTTTAAGTTTGCACAGTAATGGGTATGTATACACCCTACTGAGTGCTTATGTAATTCCTAAACCCATTAGTTTAACTCATTCCACGTAGAAAATGCTAAATGTGAATATGCTGAATTTCCCTATGAGACTGAGTAAAGAAGCAGTTTTGTTCTGTGTTTTATAGTAACACCATAGACAAAGCTGACAAGACACCAGTGAAAAGGGTCCACAAAGAGACGAATCAAAGGAACATGTTTTCTCTTAAGGGAAAAAATTGTCTGAACAAGACAGAGTTGAAGGCTCACACTGAACAAGAGGGGTTTTAAAAGCAATTTAAAAAGCATAAGTGTGGAATCATTTGAAAACTGTAAAAGTGCAAGGGAGCCACACAGTGTAGTGAATTCATGCACGGAGCTAATCACATACTAAGCTGGAGCAAATTTACAGCTACAAACAGGCATAATTAATACACAAATCAAACACACACAGACGCAGATGGAATTGAAATCCTATTTCTTTTAGCAAACCTAATGCAGACCTCTTCCTCATATATTCACTAAATGAGACCGTGTGTAGCTATTTGAAGTAGTGTTGCATACAGGCTAGTGGGGAAATTAGGTGTTTAAAAAATGGCTGCAAATTAATTGTTTTTAGTAGCAATTCTGCAGCATGCTTCTACCTCAGTGGGTCCTTTGGGAAATGACAGCTTTCAAAAAGTGATGTCTATGCATTTTATACTTGTCTGCATATATACTTGGATAGCCCATGCCAAATGGCTTCAGTAAGAATTGAGCTGCTATATTGAGGCTTCATGTTGTCTGCAGTTTTTTGTAGCAGAGGACAGAGGAAGGGACAAAGTATCCATGAAAAAAAGAATTTGTGGATTGACCCACCTGTAATGGAGATGTCTTCCTGATCCTTTTTAGTGATTGACTTGAGTGATAAACCACAGCACTCAGTCATGTTCACAAGTATTCTCTGTACCTAAGTGGGGGGAGGGGGGCACCAGATAGAGTTGTGCCATTTTCTAGGCACCCACTTACAGTGCTGCACATTTTGTCAAGCCATGTGTAAATATCAGATGGGGAAAATAACTGTTTACACCAAATGATAGAGCTAGAAAAAACATATAGGAAGTGATTAGCCATGACAAATGTAGACTGACCTTTGGAAGATGGTTTCCGACCAACTGTCAGACAGATTTTTGAGAGTTTTTCCAATAGAACCATTGGAATCAAGAAACTCCAATTGATTTTTAAGTGCAACTTGATCTGTTAATGAGAAACTTTCCTCTTGAGGTGTTTCTGATACATCCTCATATATGTGTCCTTTTGTAGGAAGATTCTGGACTCAGAAAGCCAAAAGATACCTTTATTTCTATGTATCCAACAGATTTTAAGGTTAGTGATAAGTTATTCAAACACATCTAATTTTAGGTGTCTGGAGAAAAAACCCACAGTGATGAAAAAGAAGCTTAACTTACTTGTCTAGAGTTACTCTCAGGAAGAGCTGACATTACTACTATGACTATTACTGCTGCTGCTATTACTGCTATTTCTGTTACCACTACCACCATTGCTGTTCAGAGGCAATTATTTTTTTGACCTGTACTTCTCCATTAGGTGCCTGGAAAGCTTCAAACTTGCTAATAAGACCAGAAGGGTCTGATATAAATAAAAGCACCTATAAATTTATTTTCTTTTCAAACAGAATGCCCACAGCTATTGAATCTGGGGCCCATCATATTGTGAGAGTTTGAGAATTGGAAAGAAAGATATTGGTAAATTGAAAGAGAGGATTACTTGTAAGGTATAAATACAATGTCCAAGGAAATTCCTGGTGCTGTATCTTGCAAAGGAGAGTGATACACTTTTTTTCTCTTCTGAAAATCCAAGCATGTAGGAAAAGGCAAATAAACCTTTAAAGGATGAACTTCTGGCAATTTGGTGTTTATCGTTAATCTTAACTAGGTGTAGTCTTTGTGAAATTGCTTCACTGTAGAGTTAGAATTTAAGGTAGGTAACATCAGATCTCGACAACTTTTGCCATTGATAGTTAAGGGGAGGGAGGAATCAAATTGACTGACTGATACTAAAACAAGAAGCGCTTCAGGAGAGGCATTTCCAGAGAGAGTTGATGTGAAAAAGAAGGGAGGAGGATGATTGTGGAGTAATGCTAAGAGGCCAATTTATCACTTGCCATTTGTGCTGATCTTTGGTGTCTTATCTGAGGGGAAAAAAAAATAACTGGTCTGAGGTTAACCTATTTTTAATTTTATTAAGGAATTAGTAATAAGCATTTATATTCTGCCTGAAAGGAAATTGTTGAAGGATTACTTCAGTGTGAAATTAAATAGCACTTTTCTCATGCATTCTAAAAAACCATCTAAGGAAGTAGTGGCCTTTAAACAAATTTCTAAATTATTTCAATTTAGAAAAGTTTCATTTCATTTGAAAAGTAAGAAACTTAGGAACTGCTATGTGGTTTGAATGGCATAGATGAATCTCTAATTTTCAAGGTACTAATTAAATTATTTCTGTATGGTCATGCAAAAATAAGGAGGGAAGCCAAATGGGATTTTTCAAAATGCGAAGGAACAGAAATGAGATCTGATATTATCATCTTAATTTTTGAGCTAAGTTTTTAAGTTGCTGCTTACTTTTATGTAAAATATTTGCTCTAAGTAGGTAATAGAAGAGTAGAAAAGGAAAAATTACTTAATACTTCAGCTCTAGTCTCAACTTCTAATAACTTCATGATTCTTGAACAGAGAATCATTACAATATATTTCAATTCAGTCATCACAAGCAAGCCACCGAGGAATTAGATCCAACTGCATTCCTGAGAAGCTGTGCACAGGCTTGAAAAATTAGTCATGCAGCCACATCGTAGCTTTCCCACATAAGCCTCTGCACCAAAGTGAGTCTCAATGAGCATGGTTATAAAAAAAGGAAGTCACTATTCAGAAAATTCTCACTTCATGTGTTAATTTTCCAGCACAGGAGGTGGATTTGGATAGGTGTATGGAAATAAAATATAGTTGTGGACTGAGAGGCTTTGTATCTAGTGCCCTGCAACATTATATGTATGAATTCTCATGAGAAATGTGAATACTATTTTACAGTGCAAGCCTGCTAAATCCCACTAATGACTGGAAGTTTCATTGTAAATGGCTGGATTTTGGGAATTAGCAGATGAATGGAGAAATACAATAAAGGGCCAGAGGATAATACATTGCATAGTGTACGTTTTCATTTATTCTGACGATTTAGTTTTAATTTTGTACTTCATACATTATCAGCAAGTGTACTGGAGTATAAAAGCTACAAGTAAGGAGTCCAAGTAATATGAGATCCCACCGGGGCTCTGTGATTATTTTTGCTGAAAGGCAGGAAAAGTGCCCTTTTATTTATTTGTGACACAAGACAAATGTTCCCAGAGAAATCACAGAATCAAAGAATATTCTGAGTTGAAAGGGACCCACAAGGATCATCGAGTCCAACTCTTAAGCGAATGGTCCATGTTGATAAAAGTACGTATTTTATCCTACTCTCATTTACAAGTTAATAGTTTCTATTTAACCACTCATTCATGGAATGCTTTTTGATGCAGAAGATAGCTGCAGAACTAAAGAGTCTGTCAGAAGATGTCTGTCTAGAATATTTTTTTTTCCCCACAGGGATTATAAACTGACAACAAGGTTATAGGCATGTACTCTCCCTCTTGGACTTAGTCTTCCTGAAAAGTTTGTCTTCCATCTTATTGGCAGCAGAAGTTTTTGGCATGCTGAAATGAAGTCTAGTGACTTGCGAACACCGTAATCCTTCACGAGCCTTCACTGTCAACCCCCTTCTCCTCTGCTCTCTTCCAGACACCTACAGCCCCTCCAGGCCATTTGTTTCTTTCTTCTTCCTTCAATCTAATTCTCTCGTGTGGTGCAAATATTGTACGTCCATGTGTAAAACAGAGTAGAGAAACTGCTCCAGGGAAATAAAAAAGCTTTACCCTGCGTTAATTACCTGGTTCTATTCATTGCTCCCATACATCAGCATGTAAAGAAAAAGGGTATATAAAAAAGTGATTGTTGCAGTGGGAAGACAGGACTCCTTTCAACAGAAGCAATGACTTAAATTGTTCATGAAAGTAAGGGGTAGGGCCTCAAAAGTGTATGTTGTGTTTGTCAGGATCAAGTTCTACACTGTTGTTCTTTATATCTGGATCTTTCAAAGAATTTTTATTTTGAATAAACTGAAAGAGTGGGAGGATGTGAAGAAATATTGTGGTTACAAAAGAAG